ACCCCTGACAAGTCTCCAATACGAGGCTGTCCACCCCTGACAAGTCTCCAACACGAGGCTGTCCACACCTGACAAGTCTCCAATACCAGGCTGTAAACCCCTGACAAGTCTACAATACCAGGCTGTACACCCCTGACAAGTCTCCAATACGAGGCTGTCTACCTCTGACAAGTCTCCAACACGAGGCTGTCCACACCTGACAAGTCTCCAATCTAATGCAATCCACCCCTGACAATTCTCCAACACGAGCCTGTCAACCCCTGAAATGTCTCCAATACGAGGATGTATACCCCTGACAAGTCTCCAATACGAGACGGTCCGACTCTTACAAGTCCCCAGGCTACCCTATTATAGCAATTTAAGTCTCTTCTACAAGGCAGTCACCTCTGGCAAGTCTCCAATACGAGACTGTCCATTTCTGGTAAGTCCCCAATACAAGCCAGTCCGACTTAGTTGCAGAACTGTAGCTCTCCGAAATAATATATTTACAGACGGGAGAGCTACTAACAGTGACTCCCATTGAGAAAACTGATTTATTGCGCACAAAAAGTGCGGTCGGTTCTGCATAAATTCTTCCAAATTCTCACATCAATTGCAAAAAAGCTAGATTTTAAAAAAGTTCCTTACTCCTCTATCAAGTATCCTCATAATTGATATCTGTACGTAGCGCTTTGGACCGAATTATCTTGCAAAACAAAATTGCAGAATAAATAGACGAAAATTTAAATGATCTCAATTTCAGGGCAGTAAGGCTACATTAACAACAATTGTAAGGAATATTTTGTTGTGGAAACAGTGAAAGAGTGTTATGTTAGGAACATCTGGTTAGTAATATTTTGAAAAGAGCGTTTAAAAATGTGGAGAAATAAATCGAGAAACACTTACAGCACTCTTATTTGTGTGCAATAAATATACAGTTATGTTTTTTCAATGATTGGAAATGTTGTTCTCTGGTCTGTCAATTTATTTTTTTCGGAGAGCTACATACAGTCTACAGCTAAGTCCGACTCTGACTCCCCAATACGAGGCTGTCCACCTCTAGAAAGTCTTCAAAACGAGGCAATCTAACTGTTGCAAGTCTCCAATACGAGGCTATCCGACTCTGACACGTTGAAAGGCATTTCACCTCTAAGTAGTTCTAAACATAACCAAACATTCCTCTACGTCTCCAAGACAAACAATAAACTCAGTTCTAAATAAAACCTTACTGGACATGCGAGGCAATCCGACTCTGACAAGTCTCCCATATGAGGCATCTCAGCTTTGGCCAGTCTCCAATACGATGGAGTTCACGTATGACACGTCTTCAATACGAGGCTGTCCACCACTGACAAGTCTCAAATACTTGGTTTTCCACATCTGAAAATCTCCAATACGAGGCTGTCCACATCTGAAAGTCTCCAATACAAGGCTGTCCACCACTAAAAGGTCTCCAATACGAGGCTGATTACCTTTGAAAGTCTCCAATACCAGGCTGTACACCCCTAACAAGTCTCCAATACCAGGCTGTGAACCCCTGACAAGTCTCCAATACCAGGCTGTACCCCTCTGGCAAGTCTCCAATACCAGGCTGTCCACCCCTGACAAGTCTCCAATACCAGGCTGTACCCCTCTGGCAAGTCTACAATACCAGGCTGTACACCCCTGACAAGTCTCCAATACGAGGCTGTAAACCCCTGACAAGTCTCCAATACGAGGCTGTACACCCCTGACAAGTCTACAATACGAGGCTGTATATATCTGACGTCTCCAATACGAGGCTGTAAACCCCTGACAAGTCTCCAATACGAGGCTGTAAACCCCTGACAAGTCTCCAATACCAGGCTGTACACCCCTGACAAGTCTCCAATACGAGGCTGTCCACACCTGACAAGTCTCCAATCTAATGCAATCCACCCCTGACAAGTCTCCAATACGAGGCTGTAAACCCCTGACAAGTCTCCAATACCAGGCTGTACACCCCTGACAAGTCTCCAATACGAGGCTGTCCACCCCTGACAATTAAGTCTCCAATACGAGGCTGTCCACCCCTGACAATTAAGTCTCCAATACGAGGCTGTCCACCCCTGACAATTAAGTCTCCAATACGAGGCTGTACACCCATGACAAGTCTCCAATACGAGGCTGTAAACCCCTGACAAGTCGCCAATACCAGGCTGTACACCCCTGACAAGTCTCCAATACCAGGCTGTACACCCCTGACAAGTCTCCAATACGAGGCTGTAAACCCCTTACAAGTCTCGAATATCAGGCTGTACACATCTGACAAGTCTCCAATTCCAGGCTGCACACCCCTGATAAGTCTCCCATACGAAACTGCACACTCCTGACAAGTCTCCAATACCAGGCTGTACACCCGTGACAAGTCTCCAATACCAGGCTGTACACCCGTGACAAGTCTCCAATATAAGGCTGTAAACCCCTGACAAATCTTCAATACGACGCTGTCTACCTCTGACAAGTCTCCAATACCAGGCTGTACACCCCTTACAAGTCTCCAATACCAGGCTGTACACATCTGACAAGTCTCCAATACCAGGCTGTACCCCTCTGGCAAGTCTACAATAAGATAGGGCTGGGACGATATATCGAAATATCGATATATCGTGATATCTGTAAGGACGATACGCGTATTGATACATATGAAGAAATATCGGAATATCACCCCAACAAATCTGACTTCTGTTTTTCTTTGTTTATTTAACATTTGGGGTTTAATATATAAGATAAATAAGCTGTCTATAATATAGATAGGAAATAAATAATAATTAACACCACTTGAGTAAAATATTTTTGTTTTACAACATATAAAGAACTATTTTGAATATATTATTCTTGTTTGCAAAGAAATAATTTGTTAATTTCAATGCAAAAAAAGATTTTATAAGCAATTAAACACATCGTGATACATATCGTATCGTGGCTCAAATATCGTGATACGTATCGATATAGAAAAAGTTGTATCGTCCAAGCCCTACAATAAGAGGCTGTACACATCTGACAAGTCTCCAATACTAGGCTGTATATATCTGACAAGTCTCCAATACCAGGCTGTCCACCCCTGACAAGTCTTCAATACGACGCTGTCTACCTCTGACAAGTCTCCAATACCAGGCTGTACACATCTGACAAGTCTCCAATACCAGGCTGTACACATCTGACAAGTCTCCAATACCAGGCTGTACACCCATGACAAGTCTTCAATATGACGCTGTCTACCCGTGACAAGTCTTCAATACCAGGCTGTACACCCCTGACAAGTTTCCAATACGAGGTTGTCCACCTTTGACGTGTCTCAAACATTACTAAACATTCAATTCCGCGTCTCCAGGTTATAACCTTTCTAGAAATGTGTTTAGCAACAGTTTCTAGATAACAAATTTCATGTTACATGTACCCGTGTCTGTCTTTTATTAATCAAATTCTAGAGCCTAATAAAAAAAATAGATATTGCACCCTCAGGCTTGATGAAATGTAAAATATATCTAGTTTTCATCTTATTTATTTAACGTATATAAAACAACTTGAAGAACTGTATAGCAAATCATGAATTTAGGACCTTTAGATGTCAAAAATTTCGGACAACAATTTTATATGCATGGTGTTAAAATGTATTTAAGTGCATTGTCAATGCACATACAGGAACATGTATATTGAAACAAGAGCAACCTTGAACTGTAAATAATTCCGCACACATATATAAGTATAAAGTTAATTTATTAACTTTGTAATAAAACTTTTATCTGTTTGCTGATCGAAGCATTTGAGATCTTGATCCCTGACTCTATTCAAACTGATGAAAATCATTTAGATGCATGGACTACCCGATGTCTGAGACACTGTCTCTTGATTACCTGTGTAAATTGTGTGCGTTCAAGCGGAAAGTGATTCCCTGTTACGTAGTTGATGTATATTTCACAGTTGGACAAACAAAGGATTCATGTTTCATGTGTTTATTTGAGTCTTATCAATGCAACAAAATGATAAAATGACACTTGTAAAAAAAAAAAACAAACCCCCCCCCCCCCCCAAGGCCGTAACTAGGCTAAAAATTTTAGTGAGGCAAGAGTGCTGGGCCCTCCTAGTCCCATAAGGGTAGTACACACTGTACCTGATGGCCAGTGATGGGGTTTTACAGGGGGAGGGGGATCCTGAGACCTAGGTATTAGAAAATAAAAGATTTAATCTTTAAAAGTTCGTACGTTTTATATTGTCGTCCGCATGACACAGTGGTTAGAGCGTATGCTCTAGAGTCGCAGACTAAGTCCTTTCATCGCGGGCTCGAATCCCACTGCGGGATGTGGAGATCGGCCAGGACTTCGGACGAGACCGTAAAAACTGAGGTCCCATGTCGCAGTAAATGATGGCACAAAAAGATCTCTCATTGTTGAATCATCTTCAGGGCAAATTTAAAACTTTCAGCCCTCCTCCGTCAAGTAGTGGTGTCTCAATATGAATGAGAAATTCTTAGAAGAGATGTTAAACAATCAAACAATTTACCTTTATAAACAAACATTTTGAATTATATTTTACATGCGTTCTAAATGAAAAAATGAGGCACCTGGTGAGATGAAGGATTTACAGAAATTGAAACAAAAGTTGAAAATATTAATTTAGCTCGAAGACACACATGATTCAAAACTTCAATGTAAAACTTTTTTCACTCTTCAGAAAACTCTAAAAATTTAGTGAGGCATTTGCCTCACTTGCCTCAATGGTAGTTACGGCCTTGCCCCCCCCCCCCCCCCAAGCCCCCCTGAATCCGCCCTTGAAATGAACAAAACAAATGTTCATCATTTGAAAACATCTAATCCCGGAAAATAATTGCGAAGTCAGAAATCTGCTTCCATTATCTTTTATATCAGAATAATTCAATAAAAAAGGTTTAGTAAGTCTATTTTGTTCCTTTTCACAACATATTTGATGTGTATAATATGCAATATGTAGATCTTTGCGTAAATTCAGTGATCCGGATATTTTAATTCCTGTACGTGAACAGGTTTCTTGTTTTATACACTCCTCGCGAGTTTTCTCCCTTTATGGAATTCTCTTGACAGCAAGCATGGCTTCCAAACAAGCAGGACAGGTTGACATCGGTCAGTTACCAATCCCTCAGTTAAATCAGCTTGTACAGCAGTTAGAACAGGTACAGTTTAACTCAGTAATAAAGTATTTTTACAAAGATTGTTTGGATCTGAATAAAGGTCACGGGTATTGGTTTTTTTCCCAGTGCATTTTTACCTAAAGAAAAAAAGACACCTGGGATTTTGTGGTCTTTTTAGTTTCCCCATCACTAGACATCAGAATGTTAATGCTGAGATTCACCCATGTTAAAATTAAAACAGAATCCACTTAATTAATGTAAACAAATGTGCCTCAAAAATATTTCTTGGGGAGTCGTGGCTCCCACTATTTGTAGATGTTTGATAGTAGTTTTTTTGCTGTAGATTCTAGATCATTTGTAAGCTGTGTAGCAGACCCCCCCCCTCCGAAACTTTCTGTTGCTTTAGGAAATGTGGGATATTATTGAATTAAATTATTGCCAAAAATGTAAGAAAAATCTGGCCCCTCCAGAGTTTTGGCAGTTGATAGTATTGATTCTTTTTTGCTTTGTCACCTGTTAAGAAGTTGCCAACATGGCCAATGGCTTGTCATGTGTTTGTCTCTTGCACTAAGATAAATCACTAGCTAGGTTTGATACTGTCTTTCTTTGGAACTTTATTGGGTTGATGAATTTCATAGATGGCTCACCCTTCATGAAATTGATCAACCTGATTTATATCTACAGTAAAACTCGGTTATAACGAAGTCACAGGGACCTATGAAATTACTTCGCTATATCCGTAACTTGTTATATCTGTATAAGGAATTCATTAAATTTATAAAGCTGGGGATCCAAGATGACTTCGCTATATCCGTAAATTCGCTATATCCGTGTTCGTACTAAACGAGTTTTGCTGTATTGACCATAGGGACTTGTTTCGTATACAGGATACCCCCTTCTTATACCTCCGTACCTAACTCAGTTTCAGGCACCCCCGCTTCAAATACATATTTTGTTATATATTAATCATTAACCTACTTTAAAATGACATCGTTCGCTTCAAGACTCTATTCTTGTCAATTAAATCATTTCAGAAGTCTCTGGTCGAACCTCTTTATTGTAAACCACTCATTTATTCCTCAAAAATTACCTCAATACAAAGTAAGACATCTTATAAGATACATTTACTTCTGGTTGGGGTTATAGATGTAGGATAAAACCAGAGGCTTCCGAGTATTCCATTCCGAGGTCTCTGGTTTTATCCTTAATCTGTAAACCCAACCGGAACTACTTGTATCTCAAGGAAAGTCTTAAAATGTATTCGAGGAATAAATGAGTAGTTTATAATAAAGTTCACATTCAGAACGCTTTGGTTTGTTCATATTAAACGTTATTGACAAGTTAAAAGTTTCTTTTACCATTACGAAGGGATGAACATGGGTCTGTAGGACAATATCATTTTAACGATGGCGTGTTATGCATTTGTCTCTGAAAATAAAATAAATCACTTGCTAGGTTTCATACTGTCTTTCTAAGTTGATCAATATCAAAATGCATGACCTGCCTTTGGTAAATTTCTCAATATCATCCTGTGCTATTGACAGTCAGTAACAAACCTTATTAGTAAAACATGTAGTAAAAAGAAATACCAGTACCTCTTTTTTTGTCCAGTTAATTTCGTTAGATGCTATGTTGTTCATTGTTTGTTTTGTTTGTTGTTGCAGGAAATAGAGTTGTTCACATCTTCACTGAATCAGCTGAAGCTTGCTCAGCAGAAGTTTCTGGAATCTCAGGAATGTTTGAACAAAGTCAGTCCAGAGAACAACAGTAAAGACATCCTGGTGCCTCTCACTAGTTCTGTATCCTTTTAGGCTAATTTCACGTAAATAAAAAAGATAGTTTAAGTCCCGTAGGTAGCAAATGCTTAAGTGCCCCCCCCCCCTCCACCAACAGTGGCCAGACAATATAGGTTGCCAACTTGGGAGTTGAGATCTCCGCCTTTGTGGGAAGGGAAAACTTCACTGGTAACCATATCTTATCAATGAGGGTCAAAGAAACTACCCTAGCTCATTACAGTAAGACAGTGAGAATCAATGGAACATTGCCAACAAGACTATATACCCAAATGGCACAGCAGTTAGAGCATGTGTACTCGATTCACAAAGAAAGGATGGGTTGTTACAGGGTACTGTGGGCTGTGCCATTCTGTATTGTGTTAAGTACAGGTCTAATTATTGCAACCCTCCTGTGGCAAGTGATGGCATTTCAATATGAGTGAGAAATTCTTTAGGTAGATGTTAAACAAAAAACTATATTCCTCAGATGGTCAAGGATTAATATGTGTTGTTTTAATACAGGTCTAATTATTGCAACCCTCCTGTGGCAAGTGATGGCATCTCATGATCAATATGAGTGAGAAATTTTTGAGAAAGACATTAAACAAAAAACTACACAATACCATAAGCTTAACAGGAAGTTAAGACCATTTTTTTTTTCTTATTTGTAATTTATGTAGAAATGGTAAGATTGATTTGATGGTAGCATAATAAGGCTTTGATGTACCTCTATCAAAACAGTTGATAAAATGAAAACAGTATAAAGTGTAAAAATAGTATTATATCAAACACAAAATGTAGAAATTGTAATTACTCTGCTTGTTGGCAACACAGTTTTCTTTAACCAAGATTTCAGATGTATGTTCCAGGGCAACTGAGTTTATTTATGTATAATTTATTTCATCTTTTACTCATCGGTTCTAATAAAACACAAAGGTATTGTGAATTAACTTTTATTTATAAACTTAAAAATTAATCAAAAAATTAATTCAATCAGAAGAAAAATGGTATTCAATGTATCAAAACAGGTCTAAAGATAACAAAACATATATGTCATGTTTAAGGAGAATAATTAAAAATTTGAAGTCAGATATATCAAAATATAAATAATTTTACATGTATGGAAATGTTCTTTAAAATATTCAAGCTATACATGTACATGTCTTTGATTTTTGAATTACTTTTTGAGGTAATTATAACTTGGGTCTTCAAAACTTTTATAACCTGCTGACAATCAAAGGAAAATTAAGTGTGAAAACCAATCGGTAGTGAAACCATAAATCATTATGTCACCAAACAAATGAAAAATAAAAGGTTTATATGCACACTTATAAACAAATTAACATTTTATTTTTTGGTTATTTACATATAATGCAACAAGGTAAAAACTAATATTATAATTTTTAAAAATCCAAATATTTCCCCATCCAAAACAGTAGTGTACAAGATAATGTTTCTCTTAATTTTTGATTTACTTTTACAGGCAGTGACTAAAGGAAAAGAATACTTCAAAAGAAAAATAGATTATGTCACAAAACAAATGGAAAAGGTTCAACCTCTTCTGGCAGAAAAGTACAAAATGAAACAAAACTGTCAAATACACATTAATCATAAACAATTGAAAATTTATGGTCAAGGTAAAAATTTAAAAATGTTGATCAAAAACAAAGATCATGGTCAAATAAATTGACGTTCATAACATTCATATAAATGAAAATAGAAAATATATAATGAGAAGAGCATATTGCTGAGCCCTATTGCTGAAAATTAAAAAGAAAGAAAACATGGCCATGGTTCATTGACTCATTAAAATGGAGCTGGTAAGATGTTATATTTTATCTGCTGTTTGCAAAATGCAAATTATCCAAAATGCATTATATTTATCATGTTGTAGGTATTCACCATGGAACTTATAAATTCTATATTTATACTTTCAGTAACCATGGAGATTTTACAACTTAAAATCCAGAACCAGATACAATCCCAGCAGGCCGCTGGTGCTGTTAAATCCTGAGGGAATGACGACAGACAACAGTAAACCAGGCATAGACTGTTTACAGCCGAGTCATTCACACTGAGGAAATTCTGGCAATAGTAACATATATACATTTGTGTGTTAATTAATGCTTACCATTACAAACCTTTGTAGCATAATCTCTCACTGTAAAATAAACAATTGTTGTTTATCATTATGTGAATAAATACATGTAGTTGTCATTAAATAGATTTGATTGATTTACTATTGGTTCACAAAGTATGCGATTTAACGGATTTTAACAAACTTGAATTACATGGATTGGGCATCAGGCATAGCCAATATACCTGGTAAAGCACTGTACACAAAGAGAATGTTGGAGAATGAACAGAGCCCAAGCACTGTTAATTATTACTAAGAATGCATCAAGCTTAAGCAGATTAAGTAAGTGGAATGCTATAGAATGCACAGAACCCAGCATTAAATTATTATACAATAGAATGTATAGTTTAATGGCATTACTTTATTATAGAATGCTGACAGAAGGTTACTATTAAAGCCAAGCACAGAGCCCAACAGTTGTTTTTTATTAAAATCTTGAAGCATCAAAGTCGGAATCAGGTGTTAAGAGAAGAAAGCGTCCCTGGTTGACTGTTGTGACACAGTCATGAGCCCTCAGAATCTCGAGATTTTTAAAGTAAGCAAAATTATAAAAGTGAAATTTGGTATAAAGTACGACCAAAAAATATGTAGTATTTCGCAAACAAGGTCAAATAATGACCATATTTTTTTTTAAATGAAGACTTTGAAGAGATTATTGAAATCATTAAAATTAACTTATTTGTTACTAACTAAATGGAGACTGGTAATTGGGCTTGAAACTCTACCTTTACTTTTTTCTTGCATCAAAACTTCCTTGTATCAATATACTTTAATTTAAATGTGACTGAAGCAAGAAATAAACTTATTCAGGATCCCCCCCCCCCCTTAAAAAAAAAAACTTTGGTTGTATAAAAGGCACACCCAACTACCGAGTAGTCTTCAAACATAAATTCTTCAGGTATTTAATTTGTACGTGTACTTTTAAGTATGATCCAAGCCAAACAGACACAAATTGGATCTAGCTTTTCTGTACAAATACTTCTAGTGTAATAAACCAGGGGAAATTGTCAATTTTGTTTCTAAGTAGCAGTTCTGTAGAGCTTGTTTTCAGTAAGTAGCAGTTCTGTAGAGCTTGTTTTTTAACTAAGAATTCTCCATAACAAAATGATACATAACTGGAATACATGTATATATGAAGAGTTTATTGACTCTATTAAACATGAAAAACATTTTATCACAATACTTGGAAATGGCTTATACATGAAAGAATAAGAAAGACTTCTGTCAAATACAAATCATTAAATCTTAATTAGTCTACTTCAGAAACAATTACACTCTATACCAAATAAATTTACAATTACCTGTATTAAAAAACAAAGTTTCCTCTTAACTTGATTTGTTTGAAACATATTTTCATTTTAAAATAAAACATGTACATGTAGTATAAATATTGCAGCTGAACCCAATCCCATACAATTCATTCCAAACACAAAACCTTAGATCCACCGGTGTAATCACTCCAGGTCACATGACCTGCCTAACATTCAGGTACACATGTACTTCTTCAGATTCCCGTCTGGCTGTATGTACTCTGACTTTGGATCTCACCGATATAACAATACTAAAATATAGCCTACCTATCATGTTTTATGTCACAGGTAAAAAATTCTGCATTTTGTATGATTCCTACATACAGTGATTCTAATACAATATAGCTAAAAGTAAACACAAAGCCCTCACGATAATTACAACATTCTGTACAATGATTCAATTTACTGATTTTAAACACTATACATTCCATGATTATCCCTCTTTCCATTCAATAAATCAATTCAAATTAGATTTTGTTAGATCTACCAGGATTTTTGAAATAAATCAACAACATTTAAACATTTTGTGATCTACAAAATGTGAGTAAACATGTAACAATGTATTAATAATAGGATATGGAGCATTAAAAACATTATGTTATGTATTTTAAGATATACATATTCACAATCACAGAACTGGCGTTTGAGGAATTAGAACATATTAACTCTCACATAGATTTTTCTTGTTTTTACCTATGTAATTTACATTTCACAATACGTTGTTTTAAATTTCACATATGAAAATGTTTCGCAGTTTTTTTTCTTATCACGAAAGTCAAGATGTTATTCCCGAAATCAACATTTCCAGAAAGTCCAGTTATAATAAACTTCCAACAAACAAAAAGCACATCATATTACGTCTAGCACTAACAAAAGAAAATCTGTGTAAAATAATTAGTAAATAAAACATCTACATGTATAAACAATCATTTCATAATCACACATCACAACACAAATTGTATTAGCCTGGGAAAGAATAAGTCTTTACAGGGAAGAATTGTGATATACAGAATGTGGTATGTATTCTTATTATACATGTATATTGCATTCAACTTCACACAACACAAAATGTTTTGGGGAAAAAATCATTATAGTGTATCTCAAGCTTTTATAACACATACAGTTTTGTTTTCAATGTATACAAACACAGGTGTGTAAGAATCAGAAAATTTTCTTTAACAAAAATCAAAATTAAGCTTTTGATATTAAGATTTTGTCTGTAAATAATTTGTGTATCATTCAAAAAGTAGCCAACGTGTATATCTATATGTCTATTGTTTCACTGACAGCGTGTATTATAAATTGATCAGTAGATAATGCTCCTATCATTTATACCGTATCAAGACAGAATGTTGTACATCAATGATCACTCATTACACACAACATTCACTTCTGAGCCTGCTCCTTATCTAGATGCTGATTGACGTGGAACTCGAATCCGTTATCATCCACTTCCTCTATCAGGTTGTGACAGATCGGGCAGATCTTCTGGACGTGGCTTAATATGTGGGCCTCAAAGTTGGCTTGGTCAATGTCCGCAGAAAAGGAATCACTGCACACCGGGCAAATCTTCATGGCTTCTCCGATGGCGTCCTCAAATCTCTCCTCCCCCTGGTGGTGGGCTGGGGGCGCTGACGGGACCAGGAATTCCTCCCCCTCATCAGTGACCTTGAAGTGATTACTCCCGAAATTCACACTGATCTCACTCACTGGGAAGTCTACAATTATAAAGGTTGAACTCTTCATTTACTCCTTCATATCTTGGCAAATTAAAACATTAAGCGCAAAGCAAATATGTGGAAATACTCCACTAGAATATCAGATCTGATAATAATATATGACTCATTTTTATGCTGTTTTATACTTTCTATATTAATCTTGAAAAACAAAAGAACTCTCTACAATTTTCTATCAATTTTTAACTACAAACTTGACAAACTCCATAAAGTTATGCATTCACTTCTTCCTCTATGGAACACCAATATATTAAGGCTTATACATTATATACACAAGTATTTTTTTTACAACAGAATTATAAAGACAGCACTGCTTACCTCCGTCCATGAGGAAGGACTTGACCGCGGAGAGTTTAGCTGAGGGAAGTCGCTCGGGGACCAGAGGGGGTGGTAACGGCTTCAGGGGGACGTTCTGGTCCTTGGTCACGCTCTGTTGGTCGTCAGAGAGATGGTCAGGGTTGACTGATTTTACAGGGGCTGGCTGTCTGACAATGACGCATATAATTTTCAGGTTTATGGTTATAAAAATAATATAAATACATGTAATAATCCAACAACAGAAATATTCTGGACGAACAGGCAATCAAATAGATAAGATTATAAGTGTTAAGCAATTTGTCATGGACTTGGATTAAGGAAAAAAAGTTCTTTTGTTTTAAGTATGTGAATAGGGGAAGGGATAGGACTGTATGTCACTCTAAAGATTAAACTCTGCCTGATACTCATGATATAGGTGACACACTTGGTAATGGGCATTTGAAGGTTTCATATCAACAGTGATTGGGATAAGCACGCGCCCTGTGCCATAGTCGCATTAAATTTTAAAATGTCACATTAAAATTAAAAACGCTGCGCCATCGTGGCGCATATATAGAGAGATGGTCAGGGTTGAAGCGCTTGTAGTCATTCACAACAATCGCTGTTAATGTCTGAAAAAACAGTATTTAATGTCGTTCAGTTAAAGCGTTCTTATGGCTTTCTTTTCTCCAGTATCTAATCAAACAGTTATGTGTTTTCTGATTGGCTAACGCGCACGAAATAAACTGGTGTCAGAGTCAGAGTGCAGCATGCTGCCTATCTGTATAAAAATAATGCAACAATCCTAACAAACAGAATTCAAGTAAATCGGTAGAAAATATTGTGGAAAAACATGCTGACAGAACGAATAGATGAATTAAATATTATGATGTGCTGAGGAAAAATTTAAAACGAAAATTTAACATGAATTGGAAGGAAATAACTTCTTTTGTTTATATATAAAGTATGTAAATATATGAGACAAAAAATAAAGAATTGAAATTAAATTGCAGTGTTTATTTATTTTTTGACACTTGTGAATTTTAATATACTTATTTTGCCTTGTTAATATTGTCATTCAAATTTGACAATTTCAATTGCTGTAAAGTCAACTGAAATTCTAACAGCAACTAATCAGTTGCAAGTTTTATTAAAATGTCCCATTAAAAAATGTTTTCACATAATTTTGAAATGTCACATTGACACTGACTTGGAGTGTGCCATTGTCACATTTACTCCCTGGCTTATCCCAATCACTGTATCAACGACAAACATATATCTGATAGGGACTAAGGATCTGTTAATTTAGTTACCTGGATACTTGAGGGGAGCTAATGGTTTTCCGTCTGGTCCCTGGCATTGTGGCATTGATACCTGGGGATACACTATAGGGGCTGGGTAGAGTAAGGAGCCGGGGTAGGGATTGCCATACATGTAGACTGGGTAGGGGGCCCCCGGGGGGCACTTGATAGGGGGCCTCATCTGTGTCTCTGATGGACCCTACAAAAGAAATCAAAAGTCACATGATACATGTACATTATGTTACTGAAAATCAAAATTATCAAAACAAGTTCAAGTATTGGCCAGTAATCTGTATATTATGAATTTTTTACTTTATTATCAAGAAATTGAAATAAAACTTTTCTGCTAGAAATAAAACTGAAGATTAAATATAAATGAAATATAAATGTTAAAGTAAAAGCAACTTTGATTTGCCTCTTGTTATTATATTCCTCTGACCACCCTGCTAACAAGTAATACAGTTATTGTTATACGATTTTTGCTTATATATTTGCTTATATATTTGCTTATATGATTATATGCTTTTTGTCTTTTTATTGTCAGTGCAAATAATTTTTTTATGTGTAAATATATGTGATATTTTTGTATATTTCATAAAGATTTTCACAGACAGTTGCACAGCCTTTAATTTATCTTGAGTTATTCCCAACTTTTGTGAATTATGTAAAGGTGTGTAGTATTTTTGTGTGACTTACATCATGCAGTTTAACATTGTCTCGTAATTTACGATTCAGTTCCTCAATAGTGTTGTCTTTGTTCACCAAAAAACTCTGTAATCATTGAAAAAAAAAACTTCACAACAATTTGGAAAATGTCTAGAATATAACCTGGGTCAATTATTAAAGAGCAAACAAAAAATAAATTGTTTAACTGTTTTAGAAATTTTACTTAATTAGAAAATCACAATTTAATGATAAATAGCTACACATGAAAACAATTTTGTTTCCCTTCTTTGACAGTTCTTAATCAATAATGCAAATTGTTTATCTTTTCTTTTTGCAAAGGGATAGTAGCATAAACATTTAAAGCTAAGTTTCAAATCAAAAATGGCCTTAAAATTTACCGTCTCATAGGGGGATTATTTTCTATGTTTAAGCAAATTAAATGTAAATTTTCATACCATTTTTTGTTTGAAATAAAATTTTTAGTTCCAAAAATATTTTTTATTGATACATATTTATCAAAAATCTACCATTTTGCAGCTTAGCTCCTGTCCATTCATTAGATGTAGATATGAAGCACATAGCTGCTAGGATTAGCTGCTAAAATCTCAAATACAGTTTGGGTATTATCTTACTATCCTATCAGTTCCATATATGTTTGCAATGTCATGTCATGATCTGGCATAATGCGTAAAATAAACTATGTTTCATGAGATACAGACCTTATCCAAATACTGACAAAATTATTATAATACTGTGTAACATGAGCTTTGTTTTATGTCATTAACAATGTAACACTATAGCCTTGTATATGTAGTTTCAGTATTTAGAAACATGATTTTATACTGCTAACCAAATTTATGGTACATTTGTCATGGTTACACTGATGTGTAGAAGATTCCATTAAATTTATAAAATACAAGATCAGGTCATGTGACTGCATTACACTTTGATACTTTACCTCGAAAAATTAACATTTTGAATCGTGGAAATGTCGCCTCAGGACCTCCAACCTCTCCTTTTCTTCATTGTACATCTTTTTGTACCTGATACACAGTAAAACATTGTAAAACAATGAACTTATACCTAATACAGAGCAAATTACAATGAATTGATACCTAACACAGAGTAAAACAAAATGATCATATGTCTACCTAAAATTGTCAAGAGGTAGCTTAAGAGAAATCGATCTATTTGCAATGGATAGGGAACTCTGCATAAACAATAATACATCCTAATTTTCAATGAAATATTTAATAAACAAGGTATTTTGGACATGTTTTCTACATGCATAATAATAATAATAAAACTTTATTTATGGTTATGCATGCACTTTCCCCAGGTGTAAATCAATTACAAAAGATACAAGTATGTCATATATACAGAATAGGAATACCAAAAATTATAAACAGTTGTGTATGACAATACAGAAATATGACGATTATATGCTCAAATAGTGACAATATTTATTACACTTGGAAATATGAACTTTGTTTTATGTCATTATTGCTTAGTACACGTAGTTTCAGAGGTCTTGAAAAGTTTGTATGAAAATTTGGTACATTTGTCGTGGTTAGTTTCAGATTGCAGGTTATAGGAAGTTGTGTAAATAAATTATGAAGATATTCCAAAATTTTGTATAATAATATGTATTTGTACAGATCAACTAAATTTCCATCCAAGTTTCTCAAATAGTGGTTTAGATGAAGAATCAGGACTTGCGTCAAGAATAATCAATTTAAATAGTGCATGCCATTGCATAGTTAATAGAACAAAATATAAGCATTGCCATGATACTTTTTTACCTCGAAGAGTAAATAACTTATAATTCAAAGTTTTACAAACCGATGTCGTTTTCATCAATATGTACACCAAGAATTTTTTCTGTTTCAACCATTTCAATTGTTTTATCTGAGGTATAAAGTTGTAAATTTGGATTTTCTAGTTTTGATTTTCTCCCATTAACATACATTTCTTTTATCTACATTTAATACCATTTGATTTTGGACACCATGTCTCAATTTCACAAAGATCTGAATTTAGTGTCTCCTTCTCTTGTATTATGATTATTAGAGTACAAAGTAACATCATCAGCAAACATATCACATTTTAATTGTTTACATGTAAAACATAATAAAAATAAAAGCTATTGACCCAACACTGCTGTGACGGGTAACTTTGGAGACACATGTTCCAACACACCCTAGTAAAGATATGATTTAATCCACTTTATAGCTGTTTGGTCAAATTTGTAATGGGTTAATTTCTCTAGAAGAATGTCATGATTCACCAAATCAAATGCTTTACTAAAATCTATAAATGTAATACCGATTAGACCACGATCCATTGCATAAGCCAACTTTCTGTTAGTTTTGTAAGGGAAGTTTGACATGCTACAAATGGTTAAACTTATTAGTGAAATTTTGTATCTACATGTTTTCTGTCAATTCAGTTGGTAGAATACGATAATTACTCGTCTAGTTCACTTTCTTAAAAATAGGTGTTACTTTGGCTTGTTTTAAATTTGGAGAAAATAACACTTACTATGCTAGCGTTAACAAGATGAGTTATAGGTTTACATAATTTAGACGACAGAGGAACTGTCACCTGTTTATTGACATTCAGAAATTTAACATGTACACAATTTGATAAGAATGAACACTTCAATATAATACTATCAGGTTTTTATATGCGTTACAAAATCTTTTTCTCATTCCTTTTCTGTAGTTCTGTAGACACGTCGTCTAGTTCACTCTGGAGCTGGGAGACGGTATCTTCCTTAGGATCAGACACGGAGGAACTGTCTCCTGTACAAAATACACAGAATCTGTTACACAATAGGATTTTATATCTTGAATCATGGATAATTTTCAGCATCTGAAATTCTCACTTGTCTTTCATTTGAAATAAATTATTCCAATTTTTTCAGCTATCTAAAGGTAATTTATCTATCATTGACTGTAAGCAATCTGAAGGTAGTTTATCTATCATGGAATGTAAGTTTTCGTATTCATTCTCACCTGGAGCCTCCTTCGTCTGCAGCACCTCACTGGTAACCTCAGGCAGGGAACCCTGGGATACATTTATGGTACGACCTGATCCTAGTCCTATGATGGAAATTAATGAACAATTAATTCTGATGTTAAATAATGAACAAAATGTCTGAAGAGTGTCTGCTATTGCGGTGTCAGTTTGTTTGACATGGTTTACACTAAATCTTACTTGTTTTTTAAGATGCTGAGTTTTATGCAACTAATGTTATTATCAATACTCACTTTTCTGTAATTTCTCGGCTGATTTCTGATATTTCTTTTTCTCGATGTACAGGGATTTATATTCCTCAGCCGCCATATTGAGTCGTTCTTTCAGGTCCTCGATTTCTCTCTTCAGTTCCCCGACATTGTGTGAGTTCTCCTTCTACAAAACACATTTGCTCTCTTTAATAACAACATCTACATGTACATTAAGTTTTGGGCATTCTTAAAATTTATAACAAGAACACCATAAAAAATTTTTTTAAGGTATATAAATTACATTATAATATAATTCCTTTTTATAACGTATATATATTCATTCTACTGTATATAAAATTATTCATTTTTGATTTGGTATTTTTAGTTGAAGTTTTTAATTCAAATAAATGTTTCAAAAATATTTTTCTTCTAGAGTTGCATTCAAAGTGAATGTTATTTTAATTGTCTTACAGTCTTTGTTCAACGTTTCATGATTCCAGTAATTTCAGAATGATGGACGCTTTTGAATTTTTTGTTTGTAAATTAACTACTTTATATCTTGCCAGAGTTTTAGATAAAATATATATTTATGGAGTAGTGTTCCTACATTCAATGCTTACCTTTTTCTTTGAGAACTCGGTCTGTAATTCTCAGTAAGTTTTAGAGGTTGAGTTTTGGGTAGGATATAGATTTACAGAGCAGTGTTCCTACATTCAATGTTTACCTTTTTCTTTGAGAACTCGGTCTGTAGTTCTGAGTAGGTGTGCTCCATCTTGGCGTACCGCTCCTTGAGGCTGGCTTGGGCGAGCTTGAGACAGTGTAGAGAGGACAGTGAGCTCTCTGTGGTCTCCTTAGTCTGGTATAGCTCTTCTAACTCCTCCTGTAACTTGTTCTTCTCCTACAGTAAATCAGTAAACATATCAGTAAACAGATTATTAAATCAGTAAATCAGTAAACAAACACAAGACAGTGTAGTGAGGACAGGGAGCTCTCTGTGGTCTCCTTAGTCTGGTATAGCTCCTCTAACTCCTCCTGTAACTTGTTCTTCTGCTACAGTAAACAGATGCCTGTGTGATTAACTTGAATACTTTTGTTAATACACAGTAATAAATCAAGCAGTAGTATTATTATTACCTGCAGGGCCTGATTGAGGTTCTATGTAGAGGGGAGATAGCATTATTATGAGTGGAAGGGCCTGACTGAGATAGTATAATTATTACTTGTAGGGCCTAACTGAGGTCCTGTTGGGAGGACACCACCTCTGCCCTCAGTAACTCTGTCTCTGACTGAGGTCCTATGTAGAGGTGAGATAGTGTTATTACCTGTAGGGCCTGACTGAGGTCCTGTTGGGAGGACACCACCTCTGCCCTCAGTAACTCTGTCTCTGACTGAGGTCCTATGTAGAGGTGAGATAGTATAATTATTACCTGTAGGGCCTGACTAAGGTCCTGTTGGGAGGACACCACCTCTGCCCTCAGTAACTCTGTCTCTTTCATCATCTGATCCTCCATCTGGGCCAGGTGTTGTTTCAGGGCATGGTTTTCTGCTACTGTCCTCTGAAATCACAACATACTTTATAATATAGAACAATAAGACATTTACCCGGTACATCATGCTTTTACTACATCTCTGTTTTCCCCTCACATTCCTTTACATGTTAGATTTTTTTTTTTATTAAATGTGAAATGAAAAAAAAAATGTGCATGATGTGCCTTAAGTCTTCCATATATATACAAATATTTCTCCAGATATTTCATTTGTATTTCTTCAAAGAGAAATATCAAAATAAAGTCACTTCAATATTCAATTAGTTTATGCTTTTAATGAGGACTCTAGAATGTATGATTATTTTAGACTGTTATGAATATTTAGAATTCAAATGTGGCAAAATAAAGTTCACAGGATAAAGGGCAGAACAAGACCAAAATTACAGTTAATTCTAGACATCATTAGACACCTTTAATATCATAAAATTCCATTTTTTGGCAAATGGTAAAATTTAGCTATTTTTATAATTATAGTGAAAATACAAGCTGAAAGCTGCCATGTGACATGTAAATTGAACATTATCACCTCCAGGGGTTAGAGAGTTATATAAGGGATGTAACTCTAGATATGACAGTTTTCACACTCACTGTTAGATCAGAAGACATCTTGGCATTCATCTCTTCGTACGACTTGATCTCCTCTTGGAGAATAATTTTAACCTTTTCTGCAGCATCAAGTTTATCTTCTGTGTTACGCAATCTCTCAGTCAAAGAGTCAATCTGATCCTGAAATAGAGCAGGAAATGTCAGAAACTACCTCTGACATGCTTCTAGTAAAATGTAAAGTACAGGCTATATATAAAGAAGGAAATATATCCAAAATATACATATAGTATACTAAAACTGCAGAATATAGATAAAAGGAGGAAATTTATATATATATCATCATAGAACAGACCTACAAGTGATGATAATTTAAAGTCCTTATCTCTCTAAGACAAAAATAACCAAAACAGCTGCAATATCATACAATGAATGGATTGACTTAAATAACCCAGCACATTCCTATTTTTAATTCCCCTTAAAATTATTCTGATACAAACAAGATCTTCCCCAAATAAGAACACTGGTCTCTCAATTAAATTCAATGCTTCCCTCGACCCAACAGTACCACTACATTTCTAATTTATTGAGAAAGGATAGAAACATTGTCCTAACTTTTAATATTTATTCAGATGTTAAATACCTTGTCCTCTCTGGAGATGATTGTTTGCCTCTTCAGCTTTTTCTGAGCTCCCCTCATGGTCACCCAATCTAAATCCCCCCAGCCCCCGTGTAATTTTTATTCAGATAAAAAATTTGTCCTCCGTAGAGAAGACCGTCTGTCTCTCCAGCTTTTCTTTGCTCTCCTCACCCTTTCTACCCCCCCCCCCCCCTCCCCCACCTCTTAATATTTATTCAGATGATTAATACCTTGTCCTTCCTGGAGATGACCATCTGTCTCTCCAGCTTTTTTTTCTGAGCTCCCCTCACCCTCTTTACCACTACCCCCTATCTATTCCATTGATTACCTTGTCTTCACTGGATATGACCGTCTGTCTCTCCAGTTTTTTCTGCACCTCCCCGAGCTGCTGTTTCTTGTCCTTGACCTCTTGTTTCAGTTCAGTGATCAGATTCTCCTTTTTGCCAAGTTCTGCTCTCATTTCCTCGATCTGACGACCATATTCCTGGGCTGAACTTTCCGATGTTGTAAAGTGATTCTATAGGAACCAACATATATAACATTTTATTTGGATTATAGCAGTACACAAGTCAATGTAAAAGTATCCAGCTTTACCTTGTAAATTTCCTACGCATTTTAAAGTAAGACCATCAGGCCGTACCTTGTAAAGTTCCTTAACAATTCAATGTAAGCCGTATTGTAAATTTCCTATACATCTCAATGTAAGAGCATCCGGCCGTACCTTGTAAAGTTCCTTAACAATTCAATGTAAGCCGTATTGTAAATTTCCTATACATCTCAAAGTAAGAGCATCAGTTTGTACCTTGTAAAGCTCCATTTGCTCCTTCAGAGTCCTGTTTTCTATATATTAGGTCGTACCTTGTAAAGCTCCATTTGCTCCTTCAGAGTCCTGTTTTCTATATATTAGGTCGTACCTTGTAAAGCTCCATTTGTTCCTTCAGGGTCCGGTTTTCTCCGGCTAACTCATCCTTCTCTCCTGTCATCTTCATCAGAATGACCTGTAAACCTTTCAAGGCCTCATCTTTCTCATTCAGTCTGGACTCCACATCACTTGTTTTCTGTAATTCAGTTATTTGTATCAAAGGGTTCTATTATAAATCTATCATTCAGCTGTGGTTTTTTTGTTTTGAAAAACTAATTTAGAGAGCTCTGTAAGTGCATTTATGTGTTAATTACTGATGTAGTGATGGCAGAATGCTTGGTTTGCAGGCATGGGGTAATCGTAATCAAGTAATCGTAATCGATTGTAATGATTACTTTTTTTAAGTAATCGACCATAATCTGTAATTGAAGGGACTTTTTATCACTGTAGACGTACTTTTTTCCACAGGGTCATAATTCTGCGGAAACTAAATTTCGGTTTAATCCACAGGTTGGAAATAACATGAAATTCTTAGACTGTTACTAAATGCCCTTCATTTATGTTAAGTGCGCTTGGACAAATATTCGCAGAAAATTTGTGACTGCATACATAGCGTAAATTAATACCACGTGAAAAAAAGTACCTTTACAGTACTTGTAATTTAATCGATTACAGCTAAAATTTTCAATGTAACTATAATTCCTTTTTGATTACTTTCAATTACTTTATACATATACAATAACTTTATATATGAATGTTGTTTTGGAGAATCATTTCCAGTTAGTCACTCATTAATATTGTATGTACCCAGGTAAACTGACTTACAGTTGAAGCGTATCGTGCTTTGTTTGGTCTGACTTACTGTTGACAGTGTATCGTGTTTTGTATGACTTACAGTTGACAATGTATAGTGCTTGGTCTGTGTGATTTACTGTTAAAAGTGTATCGTGTTTTGTATGACTTACAGTTGACAGTGTATCGTGTTTTGTATGACTTACAGTTGACAGTGTATCGTGTTTTGTATGACTTACCGTTGACAGTGTATCGTGCTTGGTCTGTAATGCCTCCCGAGCCACCATCATGTCCCTGGCCTCCTGGTTCAGCTGTTTGATGTAGTTCTCCCCCGCTGTTACTTGGTCCTGCAGTCTGTTGTTGTCTTCTGTCAGATTCTGTCAAAAAAAATCACAAATTAGATCATAGTCAGAACAAGCATTCCATCAATGAATGACTACAGACCTGGTTGATATATTACCATCATATATATCAAATAAAATCAGTTCAAGTGTATTTATGATTGTCACTCTAATAATGGCAAAGGATACTTCCTTTATATCTATATATAACTAATTTGAAAACAAATAAAATCCACAAAACCAAAACAGAAAATTAAATGAGGTCAAAAAGTGATCAGGGTTTATTTCTAAAGACTTCCTCCTTCAATGTGCAACTGCAATGAATTTAGCTCTTGGGAAAAAAATATTCTATAAAGGTTTGGCCCAAAATGTTACACTGTAAGGTAAAAAAAGCATTTTAAACGAAATTTTTATCATCGTGATCATGTTTATCACAGATAAAATTATTATACATAAAGTGTCCCCTTTCATCTTTATTTACCAAAGTACTCATCTTAAACTATAACTGTACCAGCTTTTGATATAAATCCTCTATTACATTTTACGTACCTGTATAAAAATAATTTTCTTTAACCTGTAGTTGTTTTTATGCATTTTACCTGTAATTCTTTACCCCCCTTTTTACATTTTACCTATAATTTTTTTTATACCCCCCACTCTGAGATCTTACTTGCATCTGATTTTATGTATACCCTCCCCAACATTTTACCTGCATCTGTTTTTAGGGCATCCCCCTGACATTTCACCTGTAGTTTTTATGTAATCCTCCCTATATATTTTACCCGTATCTGTTTTTTTATGACCCCCCCCCAACATTTCACCTGTAGTTTTTTTTTATTTAATCCTCCTTTATATTTTACCTGTATCTGTTTTTTTGTACTCCTCCCTGACATTTCATATGTATCTGTTTCTGTGTAATCCTTCCTTTATATTTTACATGTACCTGTATATGTTTTTAAGCATTCCTCCTTTATAATTTTAAGTTACCTGTATCTGTTTTTCCATCTCTGACAGTCTAGACAGAAGCCCATCTCTCTCACATTCCAGTTCTTGTTGACTTTGTACCATTGCCTCCTGTTCCTCCCGTAGCTTCTGGATATTTTCCTCCAGCACCATAGTCTTCGACCGAATCACTAACATGTTTGTTTCCTCATCATCCAACTCCACAAAGTCATCAGCACTGGGATTTTTGAACTGGAAAGGTGTGCTGGCTCCTCTGATCTGCCCAGAGCTGGTAACATAACAGAACTGGTAGAATTCCCCATCTTCTCCTGGGAGCTTATGAGCTGAAATCAATGAAATGAATTCTTATTGTAAAGATTTTTCTTACATTTGAAAATATAACATGGTAGCTAGTTGTTTATAATAAATTATACATTTAGGAGTCTGAGCATAAGCTTAAAATTTATAAGTAAATTTTCTTACCTGGAAATAGAATACTGGCATCCAGTTCCTTTCCAGCTTCATACCCTGCTGGAGTCTGTGCCCATTCATAATAGTAGTAATCCCGAGTCGTCATCCATCCGACTTTGTACAGACCAATCCAGTCCCTGGATGTAGGAATTATATCAGGAGTTATGGTGTAGCGACACTCAATATGGGCATCAGCAGGATAGGTCTCTGGAATGCGCTGGAACACAACTGCTGCAAACTCCGGCCGTTTGAGTGATGGTTCAGTTGGCCGTGACACATTTTCAAAGTTTTCTGTTATTTCTTCCTCCATTTTAAGTTCTGGTGATAAAAAATTCAGATTAAAAGTTTAAGGTTTAAAATTCAAAAAATTTAAATATGTTTACCCTTTCTGGATGTTACTGTAAAGCCTAGTTATCATGGTAATAATACATATGAATACAATCAAAAGTACCAAAAAACCCATTGGCCAGTGAATTAGGGAAAGTTTTCAAAAGTAAAGGAATGTATAAAATCTGACAGTTAATCTACCTGAGAAATGTAACCGAAATAATGTGCAAATGAAATTCTGAAATACTTTTATAATGTAATTGCGTGAGACAAAAATATCAGTTCTAAAAATAGCTTTGTGTCATTATTTTGTAAACACAGCAGAATATTTCTACGATACCTGCCATATTTATGCATAAAATGGAGAAAGACAGATGTCACATAGGATGAAATATCAAAATAAATAATTGTCAATTAGAATCTCGGTTTAGAAGTGCTGTGATCTCAATTTTTCTCTACATATTTACCTTCCCCGTCCTGTGACGAAGTTTATTTCGGTCGTGACGTTACCATACGTAAACGAATACGCATGCGTGACTGTCGCTCATAAAAATATAGTAAGTCGTACCTGTATTGAATTTTGTTAAAGTGACAGAATCTATCACTTATTCTGTATGCTATTATATATTTCAAGTGAAACTGAATTTTGTATTATGAATACTATATCAATCCGTTTCGTTCTTCTTAATTACATTTTGTGTTTACAATCAATGTACGCCCTACCAATATCATTCGGATCTTCAGTTTTTTCCTCCATTTTAATGAAAAAGGTGCGACTTTCCCGAAAGGATTTCAAAGCGTCGATTCAACTCTGATGCGAAGCAGAAGACGAGTTTCGACCTCGAAATCGGACATCCGATATGGAAAAGAAAACAATCAGCATCGTCGGTTCAGGAAATTGGTGAGATGTGTTGCAAGTTCTGTTCACTGTAGAAGATAAGATTTCCCAGAAAATTTGTCAGGTTTAGTTATCTTTTAAAACGAAAGTGCATTAACAGATAGATAAGCACTGCAGCCGGCTTCATTAAATTTACCATGTCCAGTCCAAAGTTTTATTTTGTTCAAATGGTATATTAGCTACACCTACTGGTATTTTAACACTAACAGTAGCTATTTTTACAATTTCAAATTTTGTGGCCAAATGCAAGTTGATGTCAGAGCACAAAATTTCATTCATACAGTCACACTGATTTGTTTTGACAAAAATTTGGCTAAAAAATGATGACTTCGTACATTATCAATTTTGCATAGAAACAAATGTAAATTTGCCGATTCAGGAAGTAATCATTTTTTGGCCAAAATTTTGTCGTATTCATCATTAGTGTGATTGTATCAAAAAAATATGGTATTCACCATGTTGCGCCATTCGGTCTTTTGGTTGCAAAATGCAGAAAATATATAAAGTAGGTAAAAATAGCTACTTTGGTTTACCTAGGTAGCTATTATAGCTATAGTAGAAATAGCAACAGGTTCCATGTTTGTTCAAAGCCCGTTTTTTCCTCCCAATTTCCCGTTTGCATATTGCTCGTGAAAACTTGTTCGCATAGGGTCCGTTCACCCTAATTTAATATAGAATAAAATCTAACAAATTTCTTTCCAAAATTTTGGTACATTCGAAATAAAACAGACCGTCAGACGTTATGCATATTGTCACAAATGGTCACACAAAGACCTGACAGACCTGTTTGGAGATTTTTTGAGATCAAAGGGAAATTCTTCAAAGGTAAAACCTTTCAACATCCGCTGTTCAGTTCTATAAAGGACCTATTAATGTCTCAGTCCTTTAATTGTTTTCAAAACATAGCGCAATTCGTTAAAATAATAGGGACAGCTGACGGATGCATCCCCCTAAATTAATTAACATTGATATTAATCATCTGATTAACTATAGTGCAAACACTAAGTCATTAAAAAAAATTAGAATCAAATCAAAAACTAATAAGACTAAATAACCATTGTTCCTCGTATCAGAATTAGAAAAAATATCCCAAGTTCGTAAAGGAAATGAATAGAAAAAATGACATACCTGTATGTTATTTTTTAATACATATGAATTTATATATACAAGTATATAAGTATTGGGTGAACCACATATAGGGCGAATAAGTTATTGGGCGAAAAATATTCTGGGCAAACGGACTCTGCGTGGACGGACTCCTGCGAACAGGTAGATCGGGCGAACAACCTCATTTTACAGGTTGGGACCAATCGCCCAAATGGGATATAATAGTCCGTTTGGGATATAATATCCCAAATGGGCTGTAAATTTACAGTACAAAAGTTGAAAATTTTTATTTTGGCTATAAATATAAATCTGCATCAGATTCAGGACAATTAAAAGGAATAACTTTTGGTTGACAAGTTTTCTTGTATGTCATTTGTTCATTTGCCAAGTATTATACTTCTCTCATTGAAATGGTAGGGTTGCAGAAAAACTTGCTTACCAAAAGTTATTCCTTTTTAAGTGTTTTGATGCGGATTTACATTGTTGCCAAAATAAAAATTTTCAATTTTTGCACTGTAAATTTATAGCCCATTTGGCAGTCAAGGGCATCATGGAAACAAGTTATTTTTTAAATAATTTGTTTCAGTTATTAAATGTCAACATTTTGGGTTATCTTCCCCTGAAAATTTTCCTTAGTATTTATTCCTGTTATTGATACTCTGCTTATTGTAAATCTCCTGGCATCTGAAAGGCTTTAGTCATGCTGTGCTTGGGTTATTAAGTACCGGTGGATGGTTCATGACAGTAAAAGTAATCTATCTTTAACATTTAACACATTGAAATCCAACATATTATAACTTATTTCAATTATTTCATTCTTAACCCACCTCACTTTAAAACTCTTGCACAAAAATCTACAGCTTTGCACAAAAAATGTAAGACAAAGAGATTGTACAGAAATATCCAAAGATTTTAGGAAAATTAGTCTCAATGTTGGCAAAATTGGCGGAAGGTGTGTAATTGACCTCTGAAATGTTAATGAAATGGAATTATTTTTACTTGAAAAATATCATGTTATTTTTTAATATCATCATATCTGCTCAGGAGATATTAAGTTTGTTAAGTCCATTAAAAGAAGTACATGTACATATAATTACAACTTTCTCAGCCTTAAATCATCTTAAATCAGCAGCAAACTCAAAATATAAATGTTTTTTTGCAAAACTAATAGGCATTCTACTTTTTAAGCATTAACTCAAATGAGTTACTTTTTTGTTTAGTAATTAATATGTGAAGTAACATGAACAAGTTATTTTAGAAAATAACTTGATTTCATCATGCCCCTAACTGTTTGGGATATTATATCCCAAGCGGACTATTATATCCCATTTGGGCAATTGGTCCCAACCTGTTTAATCTTGTTCAAACGCTGGTATGTGTATATTGTTGGATACCGTGTTTCATCTGTTCATATAGTAAAGTAGCATTGATTTCATTCAAAACAAACATCCAATCGATGAATAATATGGTAGTGGAATGATAGTACATAAACATGATTAAATGGCATAAAATTTTGCAACATAGGCCTAAAATTTTTTTATCACGGTATTATATAATCTTATCACGATACATGACATATTGGGTTAAAAAGGAGGTTTGTCATCATATGCTTAAAACTAAAAGTTTTATCAAATGCTAATTAAACACAATATAACATCCTTCGGCCCATTAAATATGAAAAACAATTTTATTTGCCGTGGTTTCAAAACCTCATGTTTCGTGCAGAAGCCATTTTGAAATTGTAAATGATGAACCAAAACGGACGCTTCGGCTAATTACGGACCGATTGAACCGAACCGTGGTATCAGTTTCACGTATCGTGAACCGAACCGTGGAAAAATAAACCGCGGTATACCGACAAACAGTTTATCGTTGCACTCTTAATAAAATGCCTGTCCACATGATTGTGATTTTTTTATGAACTTCAATAATCAGTATTTTCCCTTTATTTCAAAGTAAAAGGTTAGAGATCACTTGTAACAGGGTAGGGGCTGAGGTTTATGAACAAAATCTCTGTGGACCTTACAACAAATTTTAATTTCAATTCGATATTTTTGTCAATTAAAGTGGTCAATTTGGCCAGTAGCTGGCTCTTTGGGAAAACACTGCAACAGTCATTCAAACTGTACCACTGGTCAGTATTGTAAGTGGTATTGCTGGGTTATGTATTTCATATGCCAAGTAGTATTGCTTCCATTGAGATCAAGCATCCAATCGATGAGTAATATGTTAATTAACATGCAAAACTTTATCTTGCTTGATCAAGCAGTGACACACTGTTACTGGAAAGACAGTACATGTAGCTAGTCAAGATTAGATTGCAGAAAGGGGAGGACTATGATCAAGGAGTCACAGACACTAGATTGTCACTGTCTATAATGAATTCAAAATGGGAATAATTCTTGGATTTACTATATTTTTCAGGGGCTCTGCTATTGCTAAAATCCTGGGTAAAAATGTGGTGGAGAGAGGAGAGAAATTCAACACAGAAATTAAGATGTACATGTATGAGGAGATGATAGATGGTAGAAAGCTGACAGAAATAGTGAACACAGAACATGAGAATGTCAAGTATTTACCAGGCATCAAACTCCCAGAAAATGTGGTAAGTTTGCCAAGACACAAAACACAAGAATATCAAATATTTACTAGGCATTAAAGTCCCAGAAAATGTGGTAAGTTAGCCAAGACACAAAACACAAGAATATCAAGTATTTACCAGGCATCAAACTCCCAGAAAATGTGGTAAGTTAGCAGAGACACAGAACACGAGAATGTCAAGTATTTGTTGAAAATAAGGCAAGTTACGCAGAAAAGTAGTTCTTAGCTTACTGTAAAATCACATATTTGTGGGATTTATATTCAATTTTAGAGAAAAGTTGAGTAGAAATGCATATGAAATTTTACATTTCAAGATGTGCATAAAATGTTTTTAAGCTTTTTTAAAAAATAAATCTAAATATCGTAATGATTGAACATAATACCATAGTTGGAATAACATAAGCTTTATTGAGTATCAAGAGTCTTTAATCAGTCATGTAATTTACTCAGATTTGTCACTTGGTATTTTATCTACATTCAATTGTTGATTGAGGGACATACTTCTATGAGTTGCTTTCTTTCTTGATGTTTGTGATTTTGATATTTGTTGTTTGTCAGGTGGCTATTCCTGATCTACTAGAGGCCACGTCAGGAGCCGACATCCTGGTCTTTGTTCTTCCTCACCAGTACGTCCATAAGATCTGCAGTGCGCTGAAAAACAAAATCAAACCCAAGGCAGTTGCTGTTTCACTCATTAAGGTCAGTTAAATGCAATAAATGCAATAGGGCTGATTAATAAATGGTCCTTTTTCACCAAACTTTGAGATCCCTGAGCAACCCTTCCCCCCTTCCTCTAAAATTAAAAAAAAAACACACACACACACACACAATTTAAATGTAAACAGGAAAAGTACCTTCCATTAAAAGATAAGTCAAGCATGATTTTATATGATAAAAATCGATACAAAATAATGTGAAAAGCTTATGTTAGTAGTAGAATTGAAATGAAATTGCGGTCTCCCACATACATTTAAAATTATTTTACTTACATTTCTGTGTTTCTATAATTTCTCTTTTAAGTTCACATTAAGTTGATTATATAATACATTTGAACTTTGGGATTTCAAACTCCTATATCTTGAATACCATGGATATGTCAAAGTGATGTGGAAGTCCTAACCACATATTCTTTAAGTATTTTACCCTCAATATCTTGAAGCCTCATATATCTAAACATTTTTCTCAGCCCCATCATCTTTGAGATATGACTGTAGTATATACTTGTGTATATTTTTATTTGGATGACAGGGATTTTCCATTCATGATGATGGAATTGTGATTCCCATGTCTAAGGTGATTGGGGAGGCATTAGGAATTCCCTGTGCAGCATTAAGTGGGGCGAATCTTGCAACAGAAGTAGCCCAAGAACAGTTTTGTGAATCTACTGTTGGTAAGGTGCCTTGCTGTTACAAAGGACACAAACAGATTCATACATGTAGCATATGCCTTCATGGTTCGCAAATGTATTTTTTTCTAGAAATTATTTTCATTTCATGAACCTGATATAATTAAATATAAAAAAAATTCTTAGAAAATTTCAAGTTTTCATCCAATTCTTTAGTCCACTACTTTACTGTACAAATATATAAGTTGGGAGCCTGCTAATGACTCAGATGACATTCTGATAACAGGCTGTGAAGATGAAGAGATGGGGCAGCTACTGAAGGATTTGTTTGAGACGCCATACTTCAGGATAGCTGTAGTTCAGGACAGACAGACTGTTGAGGCTTGTGGAGCTCTAAAGGTATAAATACTATATAAAGTACTCCTCAAGATTACTTAAAGGTATAACTATACAAGACTACTTAAAGTATGATTATACAAGTGTACCTTATAACTGTAGTACAGGACGGACAGACTGTAGAGGCTTGTGGAGTTCTAAAGGTATAATACACGTCAAGATTACTTACAGGTATAACTTGCCTAAATATATTATGACACAAGCTTACCCTTTAAAATGTTGTAATTAAAAGTTATATATATAACTACTATTGGCACGATACAGAACCCTCACTGCTCAATGGCCCTGAGTGCCGAGCATTGGTCTAGGTTTAAAGACCTTCATTGGTAAAATGTTGAGGTCTCTAAATAAGGGGAAAATTCTTCAATGGGACATAGAACAACATACATTCAGTCAATCGTTTGTTGTAGTTTTAAAACATTTTTGTACAGAAGCAGAGATTGTTGAGTATAAACTTTAATCTCATACAGTACTCTTGTTTGACACATTTCATGTTGTATTTACAGAACATTGTTGGTATAGGAGCTGGTATTGTTATAATTACAGAACATTTTTAGTGTAAGAGCGGGTATTATTGTATTTACAGAACATTGTCGGTATAGGAGCGGGTATTGTTGATGGTCTTGGGTATGGAGATAATACTAAGGCAGCTGTGATCAGACTAGGACTAATGGAGATGATTAAAGCCACAGAAATGTTCATCCCAGGTAATGTTTATTACTTCCAAAATAATGTCTACTGTGTCTTGGGTAATGTGTAGTGTTTTCCAGGTAATATCTATGTATCACATGTATTTTGTTATATTCAGTATACCCCAGAAACTTGATTGATATGTCAAGTTTGTTTAGATAATGCCTAAATTAATTTTTATGCTACTGTTTAACAGAGATGAAAGTGACCACCTTCTTTGAGAGCTGTGGTATTGCAGATTTAGTAACGACCTGTCACGGAGGGAGAAACAGATTACTGGGTGAATCTGTCATCAAGTCAGACAAGGTATTAATTAAGAATACATATTATATATACAGCAGAACTCGTTAAGTATGAACTTACGGATAGCGAAGTCATCTTGGATCCCCAGCTATATAAATTTAATGAATTTCTTATACAGTTATAATGAATTACAGATATAGCAAAGTAATTTTTTAGGTCCCAGTGACTTCGTTATAACCAAGTTTTGCAGTATTTTATTCTGTAGAAACTAAAAAAAAATTCAAATAATTATTTGAACACCATTGACACCATCCGTTAGCGTATGGAAGGGAATTACCGCCAAAAGTCTATGTGTCTTGCTTTTATTCTTATTCTGCCTACTTCTTTATGCTTTGTTATTAGTGTAATTATATGTCCCTTTATTGTTTTCATATTCGTCTTTATTACATTTCACTTTGACTTTTATCCTTCTTCATTTTGCCCTTACTTCTATGTTGCTTTATTCTTGTAAATTCATTCTTCTTTCTTTTAAACTTAAACAGTTTCTTTAATAAATTATTAGCATTATCTATACTATGAATGTTAATTCAATCACGCTAACAATGAAGCATATTCAATGAAGACGAATGGAAGTTGTCAAACCGTCAAAATTTAGTGCGGCATTATAACGCTAGGTGGCGTGGTGTTCGCTAAGAGTGTTGGTAAAACTAGGTAAGCAAACCCGGGTCGGGTTATTTGAGATTCTTCAATATGCCTTAATACTTTATCAATCGAACTTCTGAAGGCCGGATCCGATCTCCCGATCCAATGATGGAAACTCCATATTTATTTTCTCTGGGCACACAGGAATAGCGGCTTCTTTTTTCAGACATAACTTTATACTATACTGAATATGTTCATTTAAAGGCCGACCCACTTTTTGTAAGAGTAAGGGTCAAATAAGTAAATGTAGTACGTATAGTAGGAAGAAAATTTAAATTTGATTCTATAGAAGAAGTTGAATCTAACTCAAAACCCACCCCGCCCCCACAATAGGATTTCATTGGCGTCGGAAGCTAATTGAAAGTTTGGGGGGGGGGGGTAAGAGTAAGATTTTTTTTGACCTTCAAAAAAAAACCTGACAAGCAAAAAAAAAAAAAGAAAGAAAAAAAAAAAAAGAAATGTCTATTTTCCAAACACAAAAATCCTACTTCGTGAGGTGGGGTGGGGTGGGGGTGGGTTGAAGGTTCGAACTCCAGTGCCAAAGTTTTTTTCCAAATACCAGCACTTTCACCTTTTTATACCTTTACTGCATCGTGTTCATGGAAAGTGGGGGGGGGGAGTTTGGACAATTTCCTGGGGTTTATTTTGCGCTTGTCAAGTTGTTTTCAGCCGGGTAGCTTAAATATTTATTCCCTTGTTGCCCCCCTCCCCACTTTCAAAAATGATGCTACGTCACTGTTCTCTCGCCTGAAAAATATAAGTCGACTAAAGTTATTTGTTGGATATTTGAATTACAGTTTAATTGTTATAAAAATGTTAAAGATTTTGAAACTAGTTAACCCTTATAAATTGGGTTGTTTTTCAGAACCTTCCACTGAACTGAACTTTATTTCACGACAGATAGTAACTGCTGATGCACGTGATTCTAGAGACAGGGCTTTGCAAAGGAGTGAGGAGCGTTATGGGTAGGCAGGCGCGGATCCAGAATTTTTTTCAGGGGGGGGGGGGGCAATCCAGTCAAAAAAATCCAATCCCAGAAATTTCTTGACAAGCATGAAAAGAAGAAAAAAACCTAAACTTGCTCAAACGTCAAAATTCTATTTCATGGCGGGGGGGGGGGGGGGGTTTTAGCTTTTTTTCCTTGTTTTAGTAACCTTGTTAATTCCAAGGGGTCCTATTCTCTAGATCGGAACCAGACTACATGCACCCAGGCATACTAGAAACACCCCGGTCTTTTTTTCTGCGTTTATATTAAAATAGCATTTTTCAATAAAGAAAGAAATATCTTTAGTACGCACCGTGTTTGTCATCAACCAGGAGAGCTAAAAAAAAAAAACTTAAAACTCGAAAATTCTATTTGGTGGTGGTGAAGAGGGGGGGGGGGGTCGTCAACTTTTTTCTGTAATAAATTTTACTCATATGCCACTAAGTACATGACTTTTAATATATAAATTGACTATTAGTACTGCAACAAAAAGTGTAAGGGATGGGGGCAACGAGCCTTTCGCTGAACTTTTCCAGTAGTAGAAAGTTACGTTTAGGAAAATGTTTCGTGGCCACCCTCCCCTCTACCGATGAAACTTACCCCATAGGAGGTCGTCCTCCCGGAAGTCAGTATATATATTGAGACTTTGGTAGTGTGTTTGTACATTGTATAATTTCCTTTTCGAAATTTTTCACTCAAATGGAGAAGCCACCTCTTGCCGGTGGAGAGCTGCAAATTTGTCCTATATACTCGGCACTTATAGCCATTGAGCAGTGAGGGATTTTTTTTCGTGCCAGCACCTCCTGCGACACGGGACCTCGGATAATACGGTCTAGATCTCATCCAAAGGACCGAACTCCACATCCTATAGTGGGATTCGAACCCACGACGTATTGGTCGACTCCTTAGTACTGTACTTCGTGACTCTATATAGAGCAGACGCCGTAACCACAGTGCTACGCGGGCGACTGCATCCAGGGGGGGGGGGGGCGAGAGAGAGAGAGTCATTATCCATATGTACTCGTGAAGATTATCTATGTTTAACTAAATGGTTAAAATGATTTAATTATAAAACACTATTAAAATGATATTATTTAAATATTTATTCATACAGAACCAGGGACCTAGTATATAGTATATAGGTCCCTGATAGAACGGATAACTTTTCTTCAAAAACTGAAAACGTTAGTATATACATGTATAAACATTGTTTTACGATTTAAAAAAAACTATTCGGGGGAGGGGTTGCTAGGAATGGGGGCGAACTGGTGTCTATAGCGAGATTTCCCACGGAAGACTAGCTATATATTGAAACTTCCCCGGGGGGGTCCTACTGTATAGTCTTCCGAAGGAAGCATCACTATGTAGTCAGTCTTCCAGGGGAATTCTTACCATCTAGCGAGACTTCCGAGGGAATGGCATGTATTGGGTACATACCTGGACTTATAACAAACATATGTCTTTTAAAAATTTAAGTTTGATTAATAAAGTATTAAGGCAGAAAACTGAAAAAACTCGAATAACCCCGGCCCGGGTTTACTTACCTAATTTTACCAACACTCTTAGCGAACACCCCTGCCACCTAGCGTTATAATGCGGCACTAAATTCGGACAACTTGTATTCGTCTTCATTGAATATGCTTCATTGTTTGCGTGATTGAGTTAACGTTCGTTATAGTTATAATCATTTAAGAAACTGTATCAATTAAAAAAAAGTAAAATGAATTTACAAGAATAAAGCAACATAGAAGTAAGGGCAAAATGAAGAAGGATAAAAGTCAAAGTGAAATGTAATAAAGACGAATAAGAAAACAATAAAGTGACATATAATTACAATAATAACAAAGCATAAAGAAGTAGGCAGAATAATAATAAAAGCAAGAGACATAGACTTTTGGCGGTAATTCCCTTCCATATTAGAGAAACATTTTGTTCCATTTTCATTCATTAATTTTATTCGAAATTTTATACGTCAAGAGCAAAAATAACCAGAAATCATTCGAATATTGTAAATATGTAATCTAGTAAATATATTTGTGTGACAATGGGATGCTATTCTTTCTGACAATTCACAATAAAACAGCTATACTATTCTTATTGGAGTGACATTTTGTTTGTACTCATTTCCAGACCACAATAAAACAGCTATACTATTCTTATTGGAGTGACATTTTGTTTGTACTCATTTCCAGACCACAATAAAACAGCTATACTATTCTTATTGAAGTGACATTTTGTTTGTACTCATTTTCAGACCACAAAAAAAACAGCTATACTATTCTAATTGGAGTGACATTTTGTTTGTGTCTTTCAGACAATAAAACAGCTTTGCACTAGTACTAGTATTCTTATTGGAGTGACAATTGTCATACTATATTATTATATTATATTGTCATGTAATATTCTTTTTCAGACAATAAAACAGTTAGAGAAGGAGATAATGAAGGGTCAGAGTTTTTATATTGTCATGTTATATTGTTTTTCAGACAATTAAACAACTAGAGAAGGAGATAATGAAGGGTCAGAGTTTTGATATTGTCATGTTATATTCTTTTTCAGACAATAAAACAGTTAGAGAAGGAGATTATGAAGGGTCAGAGTTTTTATATTGTCATGTTATATTCTTTTTCAGACAATAAAACAGCTAGAGAAGGAGATAATGAAGGGTCAGAGTTTTTATATTGTGATGTTATATTCTTTTTCAGACAATAAAACAGCTAGAGAAGGAGATAATGAAGGGTCAGAGTTTTTATATTGTCATGTTATATTCTTTTTCAGACAATAAAACAGTTAGAGAAGGAGATAATGAAGGGTCAGAGTTTTTATATTGTCATGTTATATTCTTTTTCAGACAATAAAACAGTTAGAGAAGGAGATAATGAAGGGTCAGAGTTTTCAGGGGCCACTGATAGCCAGGGAAATCTACACAATGCTGGAAAAGAAAAATATGACAGACAAGTAGGTTCATAGATGACAACAACTGCTTATTCTCTTACTGTTTAGTTGTCATTTTCTTTGATTTCTATATGCTTGCAGTACTGTTTCTAATTTTTGATTAAGGAATGAAGCTTATTTCAACTTATGTTATACCATATAACATATCGTATTCGCTTCACGGTTTATAAAGCATAAACTGCCCCAAGTTACCGTAGAAGTACTTGTTTCCATGTGGTATTAAATAACGATATGTACACGGTCACTAAATTTCCATGGAAATTTGTCCAAGCATACTTTATATAAATGTAAGGCATAAAGTAACAGTCTAAGAAATCTGCATAATTTTCTATATGCGGATTAAACAGAAATTGAGATTCCGCGGAATTATGACCCCGTGAAAAAAGTACGTCTACAGTATGTTATATCGTATAATATAAGTTGAAATAAGCTTCATTCCTTATAATTTAATTTCAATATAGACAATGAGACAATTTTTTTCATTTTTTCCCTTGGAAAAAGGCTTCAAATATCACATATTTTAAAAGTTAACATTAAGCGGAGTAATATTTTTTTGACGTAACTCATTGTGACATAGGCAAGTTATGTTATACAAAATGGATAAAACCGTTTAACCAATCAAATGACGTGTTTCAACTAAAATTAAATTACTGAATATTAGTAAAAAGAGATTGATCATATACATCTATAATATCATTCTTGATTGAAAGTAAATTTTGTTGATTCAGGAGAGTTCTTCTGATTGCAAATTACCCCTATGCAACCTTGCCATTTTCACAGTTTATTTCCATTTTTAAGATCTTTAAGATTTCCTGTTTTTTGGAGTTTGCGTTTGCTCTTTATCTGTTAGGTTTCCAAAGCCCAAAGCTAAGAGTTATATATTATTAGCTCACCTGAGCCGAAGGCTCAAGTGAGCTTTTCTGATCAAAATTTGTCCGTTGTCTGTCGTCGTCGTCGTCGTAAACTTTTCACATTTTCATCTTCTTCTCAAGAACCACTGGGCCAATTTCAACCAAACTTGGCACAAAGTATCCTTGGGTGAAGGGGAATCAAGTTTGTTCAAATGAAGGGCCACGCCCCCTTCCAAGGGGAGATAATTATGAATTTGTGAAAAATTTATGGCATTTTTTAAAAATCTTCTTCTCCAGAACCGCTGGGCCAGGAAAGATGAAACTCATGTGGAATCATCCTCAGGTAGTGTAGATTCAAGTTTGTTCAAATCATGACCCCCGGGGCTAGGGTGGGGCCAAAATGGCCGACCCAAGTTTTACATAGGAATATATAGGAAAAATCTTTAAAAATCTTCTTCTCAAGAACCACTAGGAAAGGAAAGATGAAACTCATGTGGAATCATCCTCAGGTAGTGTAGATTCAAGTTTGTTCAAATCATGACCCCTGAGGCAAGGGTGGGGCCAAAATGGCCGACCCAAGTTTTACATAGGAATATATAGGAAAAAATCTTTAAAAATCTTCTTCTCCAGTACCACTGGGCCAGGAAAGATGAAACTCATGTGGAATCATCCTCAGGTAGTGTGGATTCAAGTTTGTTCAAATCATGACCCCCGGGGCTAGGGTGGGGCAAAAATGGCCGACCCAAGTTTTACATAGGAATATATAGGAAAAATCTTTAAAAATCTTTTTCTCCAGAACCACTGGGCCAGGAAAGATGAAACTCATGTGGAATTATCCTCAGGTAGTGTGGATTCAAGTTTGTTCAAATCATGACCCCCGGGGCTAGGGTGGGGCCAAAATGGCCGACCCAAGTTTTACATAGGAATATATAAGAAAAATCTTTAAAAATCTTCTTCTCAAGAACCACTGGGCCAGGAGAGATGAAACTCATGTGGAATCATCCTCAGGTAGTGTAGATTCAAGTTTGTTCAAATCATGACCCCCGGGGCTAGGGTGGGGCCAAAATGGCCGACCCAAGTTTTACATAGGGAAACCTTTTAAAATCTTCTTTTCAAGTACTTCAAAGCTATGATTTGTGATATTTATATGGGATCATCCTCAGGTAGTGTAGATTCTAGTTTGTTCAGATGATGAATGCCTGGAGGGGGGTGGTGGAGTAAATTCAAGCCTGATGTGCTCAGGTGAGCGCTGTGGCCCCTGGGCCTCTTGTTAAGATTTGTAATTAAGATTTGTATCTTTACAGACTTTAAGATCTTTATTCTTATGGAAAGTTTCCTTTTTTCAATGGTCATAAAAATTGTGTTTCAGTTTTTTTTTCTGTATTACATATAGTTTCCAGAGATCTGTTTCTTTGGATTTCTCTGTTTATAACCATTCCTTTGATCTTTTTGTTTTGTATTGTACTCAGCTGATCATAAGATGGTTTTCTTTTTCAGATTTCCACTGTTTACAGCCATTCATAAGATCTGCATCAGAGAAATGGATCCTAAAGAGTTTATATCATGTCTTAGAAATCACCCAGAACACCTATAAAACTGTCCATATAGCTAGACTTCTATAGTACAATAAATTACATGTCAAAAAAGGCCACAGAGAGACATCAGAAATCACCCACAACTGTCCATTCAAGTAAACATCTGTAGAGTACAGACTGTAGTACAGTCCTATGACATGTCAACTGTTGGTCCACAAATGACTGCTTGGAGAATATCAGGAAAAATGTACCATGTTTACTTAATGTTTGGAACATAGGATCTATTTATTGTTATTTCTTGAATAATCAAGCAATGTTTTTATTTTACTACAGCATAAAATGGTGCACCTCTATGACTTGTAAATATTGATTGTTTCTTTTGTAGTGTTATTTAGTATTAACATAGGAAACAATCTGTTTGTTTAGATATTTTTGAGTACTTTATGTTTTTGGGTGTTATTATATTAATAATAATACACAGTAAATGAAATATTACAACATGGCATCTACATGTATTTTGTTGAAATTTGATTTTGATCTCATCTTCTTTGAGAAACAAAATTTATGAGAATGTAAAATGACTGTGTTGAGAATTCATTTATCTTTGCAATCACTGCATCCTTTTTAAGTTTTGTTTGTATGAGTCTGGATATAAAGGTAAAATTTCTGTAGCCCAGTCTAAGTTTTCAGATTATATAAATCTACCGTATATACTCGCCTATAAGTCGGTTTTTTGAGAGTCAATCTCTGGTCCAAAACTCTGTGTCCGACTTATAGGCGAGCTATAAAAAGAATGGTATTATATGAGGTCAGTCCATCTGAAATACAAGCTTATTAAATACAACCGACTTATAGGCGGACCAACTTATAGGCGAGTATATACGGTAAATGTGCATAATGAGTCTTAGTTGCAATACGTTTGAACTTTTAAGACTGACAATGAATTATATGCTAAGAATGTAATGATGAATCTTTATTGAGAGTTACTGGCAGTGCTCTGTAGTTCCTCTGATCATTTATAGCCTGTGTTAGTTGAATGTTCCACATTTATTTTTTTTTCATTAGTAAAACCATGTCTTCTAAAATTAGCTTAAGTCTCAATTGAAAGATAAAAAAAGTGATGGTCCAATATTGATGTAATTTACATGATATATTTTAACAGCGCTTAAGAAAATTAAGGTCCTTTGTTGATGATTTTTTACTACATTTTTCTGATCAGTGGTTAAAATAATACCCTGATAATTCAGCTGAGTTAAAATAATATCTGACTTCTTTAATAGCCAGTTTAATAGAATTTAGAGTTACGGTGTCTGGCTTGATTTTCTTGATAACATAGTAAATTACTGCCCTAAATATGATTTTAAAAATTTTTTTAGGTGCTTTTTTTAAAACTTAAGCTTGATGTTCCTTTGTAAACTGCTTTCTTTAAACAAGTAAAGGAAATGAAGAATATTTGATATAGATATATATATTTTGATTTGATTTGAACATATTTTATTATGTAAAATACATAAATGGATTGGGCAGCAGGCATAGCCTATATAAGCACTCTCCATATAATATATATTTTTAAATTTCATTGACCATTCTGTAGAATTACTAAGCATCATCAAAACTTATTCATTGTTCAGTGTTGTGAACAAAGGAACAAAATCAAACGTTGGAGTAAGATTTTTCTATTGTATTTCTTACTGGAGAAATACTCTATCTCTATTATTACTAATCTAATTAGAGATTGCAATAATTACAAAATGGAGCAATCTTTGTTCTGTCTTTAGAGATATATGTACACATTTGTTTTAGATTTTCTCTTTGTCCTTTGACTTCTGTTTTATTTCAGACTTGTTGCTTACTTTAAGAGTTTATTGCAATCATATTTCTTTCAACTGTGATCAATGCCTTAAATTGGTTTTACTTTTACCAGTCATTTGTTTTACTTAATTTCCATTTAGATTTCCTTGGTTTGGTTGCTGTGTATTTCTCGTACATATTTATTTTGAATAATTTCTTTAAAATATATTAAGTTTTAGATGTTTTTTTCTCACTTTTTCCATGTATTTATTGATTGGAATGTAAAGTGTATGGTGTATTTTTAAGCAGTATATCTCTGTGGGTCTACAAAAGAATCAAATTAAAACAAGAGGCCCATGGGCCACATCGCTCACCTGAGCACTGTGGCTAGGAAAAAGTAGAAATTGGTTTATTAGTTAATAATTTAAATCCAAAAGTAGTCCCAATACCAATCCTGGCTTTGCTATTCTTGATAAGATGATTTTTAAAGAATTTTCCTATATATGTCTATGAAAAACTTTGGTCGGCCATTGTGGCCCCGCCCTACCCCGGGGGTCATGATTTGAACAAATTTGAATCTACACTACCTGAGGATGCTTCCATATAAATATGATCAATTGGGGCTTTGTGATTCTTGAGAAGAAGATTTTTTTAAAGATTTCCTATTTATTTCTATGTAAAACTTTGGTCGGCCATTGTGGCCCCGCCCTACCCCCAGGGGTCATGATTTGATCAAAATTGAATCTACACTACCTGACGATACTTCCATATAAATATGATCAATTATGGCTTTGTTATTCTTGATAAGATGATTTTTAAAGAATTTTCTATATATTTCTATGTAAAACTTTGGTCGGCCATTGTGGCCCCGCCCTACCCCCGGGGGTCATGATTTGAACAAACTTGAATCTACACTACCTGAGGATGCTTTCATATAAATATGATCAATTATGGCTTTGTTATTCTTGAGAAGAAGATTTTTAAAGAAATTTCCTATATATTTCTATGTAAAACTTTGGTCGGCCATTGTGGCCCCGCCCTACGCCCGGGGGTCATGATTTGAACAAACTTGAATCTACACTATCTGAGGATGCTTCCATATAAATATGATCAATAATGGCTAAGTGATTCTTGAGAAGAAGATTTTTAAAGAATTTTCCTATATATTTCTATGTAAAACTTTGGTCGGCCATTGTGGCCCCGCCCTACGCCCGGGGGTCATGATTTGGACAAACTTGAATCTACACTACCTGAGGATGTTTCCCCATAAGTTTCATCTTTCCTGGCGCAGTGGTTCTTGAGAAGAAGATTTTTAAAACATACCATCAAATTTTCATTAATTCCCAATTATCTCCCCTTGAATGAGGGCGTGGCCCTTCATTTGAACAAACTTGAATCCCCTTCACCCAAGGATACTTTGTGGCAAGTTTGGTTGAAATTGGCCCAGCGGTTCTTGAGAAGAAGTCAAAAATGTGAAAAGTTTACAACGACGACAACGACGACAACAACAACAACGACAACAACGACGACGACAGACAACGGACAAATTGTGATCAGAAAAGCTCACTTGAGCCTTTGGCTCAGGTGAGCTAAAAAGCATTCAGTAAGAGCTACACATGTATTTGAGGAAATTGATCAGGTTTTGTTGGACTTGTTATTAATGATTTTTACTGAGTGTTGAAGGTGCTTATGTTTGAATATGTTTTAAATTTTTGCTGTATTTTATTAAATATTGTAGCTTTATGTTTATTATATCCAATTGAATCATGTTGATATTTTATACTCTTTTTGCCATATGAGCTTCTATACATGCGTTATATGAAAAATCCAAGTTTTTATTATTGAAAATTTAATATGGATTATGTCATAATGGATTGTTTAAGAATTCATTTGTTAAAGTATAGCAAAGTTTTTAAAAAATATTAATTAAAAATATACATCAATATACTTAAAATTTAATTTTGTTTAAATTCTCCAGGTTTTCTCTAAATGGATGACATGTCAGATTTACTTGTCTGATTATACATTTATTTTCAGCTCACCAAAGAAGCAACTGAAGGAATTCTTTATATGATTTAAGTTTCTCCACAGTGCATACATCTAGCTGTCTTCTGCCTTTACACTTTCAACATTTTTAATTTCATTACCACTTTGCCAGATAAACCAAAGTTGACACAACATCCTTGGTTGGCAGGGATTTAAGTTTTTTTCAAAAAAAGGCTGTTTACATATTGCACATATATCACGGGAAACAATGATAGGAAAGAGAAAAAAATCTCTCTCCATAACTTCTAAAGCAGAAAATGAAAAAGAAAACAACTCTAAGTGTATATATATTAAGCTCAAATGTAATTGTCCTTAGGGCTAGATTGGAGCCACATGAGGAAAAGTTTTGATCACAAAATTATATGGAAAATCTTCAAGAATCCCCTCAAATGCAGTATTGCTACAATCGGAAATGGGTCTGTCAACAATGGACTAGAGAAGAAAAACAAAGTAGGTCATTCAAAATGAATGGTCAAAATCAAGTTTATATGCGTTCTCTAATTTAGTGTTCCTTCATTTTTGTTCAAATATGTCTAATTTAATTAGTGTTCATCGAGTTTGGCTCAAATATGTCCAATTTAATGTCATAAGCTGAGCATGGGTAATCTTTGATTTTAGATTATTTAGCTAAATATAAAAATCCCTAAATTTAACTTTGGAAGACCAGCAGGACCAAAGCCATACTTTAATTTTTAAATTGCAAGCATCTCATGAAGTGGATACTGGTATTCAATATTTGGCAAATCATTCCTCCCCAGGGCCACAGTAAGGGATCAAAGGATTCCATGAATGAAAAATATAAAGAAAAGTGAAGGACGTAGTCAAATACACGATTCAAGGTTTGGCTGAAATCTGGAAAAAGTTAAAGGTCTACTCACCAGCAGGTTAGTAATATTACACGTAATTTTATATATACATATACATTGGACCTAAACTAGATCTAAATCGGATGTGGATGCTTAAAAAAAAGATACCACAGAGATTCACGAAGAGATGGCCAGTTAAACCAAACTTGACAACATCCTTGGTTGATGGGGATTTAAGTTTGTTTTTTAAAAAAGGCTGTATTTTATTATATATTGCAACAATATCAAGGGGAAACATTAGATGAAAGAGAAAAAAAATCAGGGTTTCAAAAATATTTCCATAACTCAAAAGCCAGACAGAAAAAAGGAGAAAGCTTTATTCTAAGTGCGTATATACTTAAGCTTTAATGCAATTGTCCTCGGAGCTAAATGGGGAAAAGTTTTAATCACTAAAATATAATTGAAATTCTTCAAGAATCTTTGCAAAAGCAGTATTGCTACAACTGGACATGGTTTAACAATGGACTAGAGGTCTAAGAAAAATAAAAGTAGGTCAATCAAAATAAATAGTCTCAATCAAGTTTATATACATATCAGTGTTCCTTCCGTTTGGCTCTAATATGTCCAATTTAATGTTCCTTGGCTTAAATTTGTCCAATTTAATGTTCCTTGGCTTAAATTTGTCCAATTTAATGTTCCTTGGCTCAAATATGTCCAATTTAATGTTCCTTCCGTTTGGCTCAAATATGTCCAATTTAATGTTCCTTGGCTCAGATTTGTCCAATTTAATGTTCCTTGGCTCAAATATGTCCAATTTAATGTTCCTTCCGTTTGGCTCAAATACTAGATGTCCAATTTAATGTTCCTTCAGTTTGGCTCAAATATGGTCCCCCTAATTAAGCTGAGCATGGTAACATTCGAGCAATCTTTTAATATGAGATTATTTAGCTAAATATAGAAATTCCTAAATTTAACTTTCGATACCAGCAGAACCAATAGCAGCCATATTTTGAATTTAAATTGCAAGCATCCTGTGTTGTGTATGCTCAATATTCGGCAAATCATTGCTCGATCCCCAGGGCAAAAGCAAGGAATCAACGGTTACATATGAGTAAAAAAATTATAAAGAAAAGGGAAGGACATGTTTGATTACATGATTCAATGTTGGGCTGAAATACGGAAAAATAATTATCACCAGCAGGTCTTTCCTTTCCAATGATATTACATGTGATGTAAATCTATACATTGGACCTAAACCAGATCTTTATCAGATGTGGATACTTGAAATAAAAGATACCACAGAGTCTGGCACATCTGTTTCAATCTTGATTATTTTACTTGAAAAAGACGTCCGTCAATATGTAACAACATTTATGATAAACTTGATCTGATAACTTCACTATTCAACCGTCAACTTACGTTACTTATGTAGCAATGTGCATATACCCTGATCACCTGCTTACGGGGTCTATATCTTTTAGTGGATTCGATACACAGGAGCGTGCTCTGAATACTTACATTTTTGTTTAAATTAGAGGTAAATTGTTGACAAACAAGTTAATGAAACAAAAGTATCAACAGTCTCGTGTAAAGTCATTTGAAAGTTTTATGGTCAATACAATGACTTTTCAGCAAATACAATCTAGCAATTATTTTTCATATTATTATGTACTTTCTAGGTTTGTTCTTCCACACTGAACTGTCTACGGATTTGTCCCTTATTTCCCTGCTGATCATGACATTGGGCGGGTGTGACAGGTTAGCGGGCGATGCTCATTCCTCCCGATCGACCGACTGACTAAGACAGACTGAATCAAAACGTTTTTTAACCTTCAGAAAACATTTGTTTATTTATTCCTAAAAAGATGTTTTGAAAATTCACTGATTTGAATATTTTCTGTGAAATTTCTCAACCTACCTTAACCGACTCAAAATTTTCATCCTGAGTCGGAAAATGACAAACAAACATAATTCTAAAGCCGTTATGAAAGTACATACATGCGTAATTGTTTTTTTTAAATATTTACCTGCACTTGATGCAATGTTTTTTAAAAAGGATAATCCTCTTTAAAATAAACATTCGAGGGGTAATCGAAAAGTTTGCAAACTATCTCTATATCTACAAAACCACAATTCAGATTAGAAGAAAAATTGGTACACACATAGGCATGCATACACACGTTCTATAAATAGCATATGCTGAATAAAGTTTTGCTCTTTGTGACGTCACAATGTGAAAATGACGTCACTATATAGGTCATTTGTGACGAAAAATGGTTGTCTTAGTCGATCGTAGTCGTTCAACAAACGACTGTACATTTCATTGTATATCTTAGAAATTCCCTTGCAGTAGCATATAATAATTTGTACACAGTTTATTAAGACAAACGACTTCCTATTTATTCAAACAATGATTTGATTTATCATTTTATTGAAGGAAGGCAGATGGTTAAAAATGATACTTGTTATGTTGCCAAGTGAAAGTAAGTTTGAAAAGAGATGTGTTTTTGATTCAGCAATTTGCTATCAAAGACTTCCAATTTACACTTTGAAATATAGTTGAATTTTTGAACAATAATATAATTATTAAATACTTAAGATATCGTTTACTTTAGATTTTAAACATATTAGATATGATAACATGGAGGCACCCATTCTCTGTCAACCTTGAATAAACGTCTCTCCCGAGACAGAAGATTTGGGTTTTAATGGTCGCCATGCTTATTTTTGGAAAGGATATTCTTATCCACCAATTCTGTTGCCGAGATTTGACCATTTCTGACAAATGAGCTGTTCGCGTTATAAAAATTAACTTACATGGAAATAAACATAAAACTCAGAAATATCTTCCTGCTTTTGTGACAGAACGCTGAAAGGGGTCACGTGTCCGCCTATATCACGTGATTCGCGCATGAGCAGAACGGTGGTTGATTTAAAATATAATCAACACTGAAACCAAATATTGTTTTTTTTATGGAAGTTATTCAATTAATTCGCGACTTTTTTTATCACCCCTCGTAATTATCAACTGACATGATTGATGACCGAGGTCCTTTATCTCGTCTATCTATCTGAGATAGCAGATAACGATACATGCATTAATCCTCAGAAATTTGTGGACATGTCGAAGGAGGAGTATTTTAATCTTCCGATATTGAACTTCGATGAGGCCTTAAAGGACCCAGCAGAAGGAGGCAACGAAGTCGTCAGTGCTCTAGAGAGTGTTGGATTCCTAGGGATTGTTAATATTCCAAATTTTGAGGTGGGGAAATTGAAACACTGCTGCGAATGGTTTTTCAATCGACCCTGGGAAATCAAAAAGGCTCTTTTAAAAAGGTCGTTTAACAAAGAAAATAGCAATGTGTATCGCGGATACTTCCCGGTGGTGGAGAATTTACCGAGCAGGAAGGAGGGGTTTGAGATAGCTGCTGACGTGTCGCCAGACGACACTGACGTCATCAGCGGAAACTGGGGTGCGTTCAACAGCGTAGCTGCTACGTAGCTGCTACGTAAAGCTACGCTCTTGAACGGAGAGCTAACCTAGCTGCTACGTATGGAGACCTAGCATAAATATTTAATGCTACGTCCCAAATCCAAGATAGTTTCCTTGGTTACAAATTTGCAGCATTCAAGATTTTAACAAAAAGGAGGTTTATTTCCTATATTTAAGTGAATTAAATGTAAATTTAAATACATATTTTCGCCTGAAATAAACTTTATTTGATCCAGTAAAAAGTTTTTACTGATTTATCTTTATTCAAAATCTAACATTTAGCAGCTAGGTTAGCTGTCCGTTCAATAGAAATAGATATCTACTACTTAGCTGCTAGGTTAGCCGATACGCTGTTGAACGCACCCCTGGTTTTACGAAAAGTCTATATGGCCGCCAGAAAATGGAGACTTTGAATTTAAGGCAACGATGATAAACATGTATTGGGTTTTGCATCAGGTTGCCATGGATATTCTTAAGCTTGCATCTAACGGATTGGGATTTAAAGAAAATGTATTTGAATATCTGTTTAAGGACAAACCATGTACAACTTTTCGGTTGCAACATTATCCCCCGTGGAACGGTAAACCACCTGAGAATGCTATCATAGAGGACGGAAAGGTTGTAACCACACCCGTACATACAGACTCGTGTTTCTTAACTCTTTTGGCAACATTCCATTTTCCTGGACTTGAGGTTATGACCCCGGAAAGAAAATGGCTGCCTGTTCGTCCAATCCCTAATGGCCTAGTTATGAATGTGGGTGACCTTTTAAGTAAAATGGTTGGAGGTCGTTTCATTGCAACACAACACAGAGTCCTTGACATTGGTGTTGATAGATTCTCCGTACCGTTTTTCTTAGAGCCTCGATTTGATGCCGATATCAACGTTAATATTGTAACCCAATCTAAAGAAGGAAAACCAAACTCCATTTTGAAGTACGGTCCTTGGGTCTTGAAACAAATGGAAGATAAAGGATTCTTTGAATTCAAAGACCTTCCAAAGTTTTAATCTATTAATGCCGAATATATCATTTTCAATAATAAAAGTTAATCCCTTCTTGTAAAATTAATTAAATTTAACATTTTCATCAGTTTTAGATTGTGAATTGATAATAAAACATGCTGACATTAACATTATTTTTTAAAAGTACAATATATTAGTGTACGTTTCATTTGGTTTATATATGCTTGTTATCAGCAAGTTTTCTGAGTTCCTTAGAGAATTTGATAACATCCAGGCCACTCAAGAGAAGATCAGATCTAAGGACATTGTACAGCGAGCCTGGTGAAGTAGACTGTAGGTGGAGTAGTTCAGACAGAAGCTCAGGGTCTAGGTCATAGAGTCTACAAAAAGAAATCAGTGATAGGTCACTGGCTAAGAACAATGTGTATTTCAAATTTATTATTAATTACATGTTTTAATGCAATATACATATATGCGTATCTTTCCTTATATTTAATCCCCATATAGAGTTTGTTCTCTGTTATATTAAACACCAGATCTGAGAGTCAGAAAGAGAAGGAATTATGCATATATCAATGTCGTTTCCTAGTGAAGACACTAATGTTTTCTCACCTTTCGATTGGACTTGATAGGTTACAGCTATCAATCCATTCCTTTATCCGGGCTCCGGTCCATTGCAAATAAACATTCTCCCCGTTTTGTCCCTCACGTAATGAGTTGTCACCGTTCACCGTGTCGTGTCGCTCAAGCTTTTCTTTGCCTATATAAAATCAGAAAAGTCGAGTATTTTTGTAAGAGATAAAACGATAAATGTAAGAGATATTTTTCTTGGAACGGAAACATACCATCAGTGCTATCGGGCATATTAAATATTCGACCCCTTGAGCCGAGTTCTTTGATTAGATTTCCCACCATGAAATCAAATCTTTTTTCTGCAGTGAAGTCAAAGTAGAGTTTGGTTCCTATTATTAACCCTAGCCACCCGTCTGGAACGTACCGAGGCTCAAGTCGGAGGGGAACCACGCATTTCCGGAGTTTGTACGCATACTCCGCCTCTAAAATGTAGAAAGCACAGCAATCAACACACACTTCCAGAATTTGTAAATTTACTCTGCTTCTAAAATGTTAAAATAAAACACGTTACAGCAATCATCCGCCTCTAAAATGTAAAAAAAAAAAAACACATTACACAAATCAACACACACTTCAAATTTTTAGACACACTTAAATGTATACAAATGTTACAACAATGTAAGAAATAAAATATGCATATAGAGGTCTGGGATTATTCTTTATTAAGTGTGTATTCTTGGAATATTTATCACAGATAATGACACATAAATTTTTCACACATGCTGAATACATAGGGGCTTGTCTTCCGGATTGATAACATTACACTCTGAAAGTTGCTTTAATAAAAATTCTGACGGCGAGAAAAATAATGTTTTAAAAAAAAATACTTTATACATAAACTCTGTTGTTCTTTATTAAAGCAACTTTTAGAGTTATTTAATGTAGATACAAATTTTTATTATTTTACCTTTATCAATCTTACCAACCACAGGGGGTGGGGTGGGGGGTTCGGATCCCCTTGACTGAATTTGTAGAATTATTTGTATACTGAAGCAAATAAAATATGCCAATATGGATATAAAGGTTTGATTGATTATTCTTTTTTATGTGTGTAGATGATTCTTTTAATAAGGAATATTTATCACACTTTGACATACATGCTGATTACTATCATTTAGTAAAAAAAGTATTTCGAAATTGGATTTTCCGATCTCTCACAACTTGGAGCCGCGTTGTCGATATATTGTCAAAATTTAACATAATTATGCATGTTGTCCAATTTAACCTTTATGACATACGGAATTTTTATACCAACTCTCCTTCATGCCCCTGTGCTAAAAATAGCTATAGCTGACACTCTTTTGTATTCAATTTTTGATTGATTGATTGATTGATTGTATATTGTTTAACAAACAAAATTTTCCCAGCGCCTGCCGCTGACACGAGGCTATAGCTGGCACTTTCACTTCAAAGTCGAGCGTGGCGATTGCTAATTTTTGTGACATACAGAATTACCGAATTTTCAACTGTTACTTTTATTACTGTATATTTGTGACATACAGAACTATAACTGATGTTCACCCTTTTACTTTACTGTATTTTTGTGACATAAAGAATTACCTGATGTTCACCTGTTACTTAATTGTATTTTTGTGATGTTTAGAATTACCTAGTGATCACCTGGTCCTTTATTGTATTTTTGTGACATACAGAATTACCTTATATTCACCTGTTACTTTATTGTATTTTTGTGACATACTGAATTACCTAATTTTCACCTGTTACTTTATTGTATGTTGTAACATACAGAACTATAACTGACGTTCACCTGGTCCTTAATTATATTTTTGTGAGAGACAGAATTACTCTATTGTATTTTGTGACACATACAATTACCTGTTTTGATCTACAGTTTTTTTTTTTATTTATGTGATATACTTTCCTTGTATTTTTTAACATATATACAGAGTTTTCCGACACACACATATTTAATTTTTGTGACCCACCTGTTACTTTATACAGAACTATAACTGATGTTCACCTTTTTAATTATTAATTAATTTATTGTATTTTGTGACATAAAAATTACCTTATTTTCACCTGTGACACACACAATTACCTGATCTACAGTTAGGACTTTCTTTGTATTTCTGTGACATACAAACGAGCACAACAGCCGCGTTCTCGATGGCCAGGGACATCGCCTCCACCGTGGATCCGCCTACACTGCATAAAATCAATCGTCATTAAAGGTAAAACAAAAGATTTATTTCATATTTGTCATGTTTGTGGTTCATTAAAAGTCAAGTGTATATTTAAACTTTGAAGTCAAGAGGATAGTTAATTTGTCAAAGACGTCGTTGCAATTTCAACACAGTCATTTTAAGAAAAAAGGGGAGATCAATCTGTAATTTTTTAAAAAATCTTCTTCTCCAGAACCGCTGGGTCAGGAGAGATGAAACATGTGGAAGCATCCTCAATATCAAAAATCTTCTTCTCCAGAACAACTGGGCCAGGAAAGATCATTAGAAATAAGAATGTAGATTCAAGTTTGTTCAAATCATTAATTAGGAATATATAAGAAAAATCTTTAAAAATTTTCTTCTCCAGAACCACTGTGCATGAAAGATGAAACTCATGTATAGTGTATTTAAAGGGTGGGGCCAAAATGGCCGACCAAAGTTTTACATAGGAATATATAGGGGAAATCTTTAAAAATCTTTTTCTCCAGAACCACTGGGCCAGGAAAGATGAAACTCATGTGGAATCATCCTCATTTGTTCAAGTCCCAAAATGGCCGACTTTTTACATAGGAATATATAGGAAAAATCTTTAAAAATTTTCTTCTCCAGAATGGGCTAGTGACTCATGTGGAAGCATCCTCAGGTAGTGTAGATTCTTTTGATGGGGCTTTTTACATAGGAATATATAGGGAAAATCTTTAAAAATCTTCTTCTCCAGAACAACTGGGCCAGGAAAGATGAAACTCATGTGGAATCATCCTCAGGTAGTGTAGATTCAAGTTTGTTCAAATCATGACCTCCGGGGCAAGGGTGGGGCCAAAATGGCCGACTACAGGAATATATATTTTAAAAATTTTCTTCTCCAGAACCACTGTGCTATGAAAGATGAAACTCATGTGGAAGCATTATAGTTTTCCAAATCATCCAAGGGTCCACACTTTAAAAATCTTTTTCTCCAGAACCACTGGGCCAGGAAAGATGAAACTCATGTGGAATCATCCTCAGGTAGTGTAGATTCAAGTTTGTTCAAGTCATGACCCCCGGGGCAAGGATGGGGCCAAAATGGGGAAAATCTTTAAAAATCTTCTTCTCCAGAACCACTGGGCCAGGAAAGATGAAACTCATGTGGAATCATCCTCAGGTAGTGTAGATTCAAGTTTGTACAAATCATGACCCCCCGGCCCTGGGAATAGGGTGGGGCCAAAATGGCCGACCCAAGTTTTACATAGGGATATATCGGGAAACCTTTTAAATTCTTCTTTTCAAGTACCCAGGTACTTCAAAGCTATGATTAGTGATACCCGGGGTATTTAGATGGAATCATCCTCAGGTAGTGTAGATTCAAGTTTGTTCAAATGATTATCGCCTGGAAGGGGGGGGGGGTAAATATGTGCTCAGGTGAGCGCTGTGGCCCCTGGGCCTCTTGTTGTAACTTTTATTTGAATTGTACGTAGCACTCAGTACTGATACTGACTTTTGATGCTTTTCTTCATCTTCTAGCTCATATATTTTCTTTTGATATATTGACTAATATAAAGATATAAACCGACTACAGACATAATTTCAGTACTGACTTATGTTTTCCACATCCATCCACACTTTGTAGCCGGCTTGTTTTAGGGAGTCCTTGACCTTTAGCATCACGTGTTGTGAATCCCACTGGTAGCTGATCATCACGTGAGGTCGAGGGTCATCTATGGCGGATGATAAATATTGAACTTTTTTGGTAGATCATATTCATACATATTATATATTATACATGTATATATCATTTACCTATGTAATAAAAGATGAATTAGAATCACAGAAAATTTTCGATCTGTATTAGAGATAACAACTATACCATTTATAGAATAATTTTTAAGATTGCGTTGTTTAATTTCCCACAATGCACCAGTGGCGGAATGTCGTATCTTTTCATTTTCGTCAAACTGAAGACGTTCTACAACTATAAACAAAACGTTACTTAATCGTTTTGTACATCCATTTTCTGAAAACAAATATATGAAGGTCTGTGTAATAAATATTATCTTTCTTTACGCATGAAAAAGCTTTCATGGCATATATTTAGATTATAGATTAAATTAATTTAAGCAAAAAGACATCATTACTTACCACTAATTAAATCTGGTTCGGATATGATTCTAGAAAAATTTTGATTCAAGAAAGAAATTCGCCAAATAATCATGAGAGTTTGTATAACCTCCCCTGGATTTAGTTTGTCTTTCAGGATTTGGACTAGAATTGGTAGAGCACCTGTTGTCACGAGTTCCTCTTTATTTTTGTCATTTTCAGAGAGGTTATTTATCCCTTGGAGCACCTCCTGGACACTCATTCCATGTCTCCGTGACACCCTGTCCCCGGCCCTCACGGCCTGACTGAGAATCTGAATAATAAACCCCAGTATGTTGGTTTCCAGCAGTCCCTCCTCTTCCTCGTCATTTTCTGTCAGTAGATATGACAAGACAAGGATACCCTTCGCCAGAATCATAGGACTGTCCTCAAACTTAGCTATTGTCTTATGTGTTATCGTATTGATATCAAGTTCTCTGAAATGATACTGAGCCGCTGAGGACACGTGTCTGAGGCAGTTATGCCAACATCCTAAAATAAACTTAACTAAAAACAACACAGATTCATTTGGAGTAGTATCCTTAAGAAAATCTAGTAATTGTGAGGTCTTTTGAATAGCAACAGAAGAACAGACTAACTGATGACAGAACAAGGAAGAGGAGTCCGTCACAATCCAGACAACGGACAGAAAACTCCGAACATTCTGAGAGGCAGCGCCCTCCATAGTAGCGAGCTCTTCCTTCTTTTCCAACAACAACGACAACCCATTTTCTGTGAGTCCTTTCAAATTGTTTTCCACTAAAGAATCAACTATAATTGAGAGGGTTTCTTTGTTTCTTTTTATTCTATCAATGGTGTTCCATATCAATTCAATATGCATTTCCACAGCGTCATCTAGAAGATCAGAACAATTTACAGCACAGACCTCCTCTTTGATCTTCTGGCACAAATCACTGAATTCTGCATCGTTATTGCTTTCCATGATGAAATCTAAAACTGACAATCAATATTAACTCTCAAAGGAATTCTGCAATACAAAAATTATAGGAGTCATTCTATAGGCATGTTAACAAGAATGAATAGATTCCTGTCTAACTCACAGTAGTGAATATATGTACATGTAATGCTCATAAATTAATCTGCGTATTAAGAAAAAAAGTAATTCCAATAATAAATATGATGTACTGATTTTTAGTTAAATTCTTTCTTCATTTTTCATATCTATAGACAATTGTGAGACCATCTTATATTACACTACATGTAGTTAGTAATTTTTTGTTATCAATAGCCTACTGCGATGATTAATGTCTGTATCAACAGCCTAGAACGACGCATAGAACATCAGTAAACTACAGTACTGTTCATTTGTAGAAAAAATCAACCTGGAATTAACTTCAAGTATTGATTTTGCACTTTAAGGTGCCATCAAATAGCACTAACCCATTCCTTCCTTTTAAAATTATGTTACATTTTTTAGAGATGGGTACACTTACCTGCATAGAATTGGTCCATGCAATCGATATTTTAGGCCTGTAAAATCCAAAACCAACCTAACAAATCCAGAATTCTCGGTTGTTCCGAAAAAGCTGATAAGAGTGTTTAAAAAAACTTCCGCAGTTGAAACCTTCTTCAGGTAGGTTTAACTTTTTGTACAAAGAAAAACTTCCTTCACGATGATTAACAATAAAGCCGCGTTAATCCGAACGCTTATGGACGAAGTTTGTGGTTGATTTAAAATTAAGGAGGAAGGCCAGATCAGAATTTCATTTCATAGATCTTTACGACATCCATTTAAAATTATGGTTTCAACATTGAAAGACCAATACCATTTGAAAAGATTTATAAAGGTGATTTTCAGAGAAAATAAAAAAAGATTTATTCGCAAATTAGGTGATGAATGGTTTAACACTTGAAATTATTTTTAAAAAATTGTTTCATTTTCATTAATAATTTTTTAGTAAAAAAATTTAAATGTTTATCTGGCTTTTCCTTACATAATTCATTTGATACATTCATTAACAGCAAAGTTTAAATCGAAAACATCTTAATTGCAATTAAAACATCATTATTTTCAGTTTTACGAAAAACATTTGAAAAAAATTAATATAAAATAATTCAGAGCTTAAATCGGCCTTTTAATGTGTACACTTCACAGGGATATCTTAAAGATTATTGAAATAAAGTTCTGGTACGGCATTCCTCCTCATTTCCATTTCTATGTCGATGAAATATACCTAGTTGTGCTCGAAATTAAAGACACCACAGATTCTGACACATCTGTTGAATATCTGGATATTTGACTAGATAAAGGCGTTAATCGAAATCTAAAAACAAAGCTTGATATCAAGATATACGTGTTGACTTTCATTTTTCAATCATCAACTTCCCTTATTTATGCAGTAATATACCTTCATCAACTGAATACGGGGTTTATATCTCTCAGGTGATTCGATACTAAAGAGCATGCTCTACATGTGAACAATTTCTAAAATGGGGTAAGTTGCTGACAAACAAGTAAACGAAACAAGAATGTCAGCATCTCGATTTACATGTAAGTTCTATGGTCGATGCAATAACCTTACCAATAAATGTTATTTATCATTAAGTCAAATGCTGACTGACGGTTTTTCATACTAATTGTTAGGCCATTATATATCCTGGCGTTACCGGTTTTCCATAGTGTAAAACTTGAGTCAAAAAATTCATCTAGGCATCTATGTTTTTCTCACCTCAATTATTTATGTATTATTAGTCAACAATAAATAAATATATTCAGACATTAATTTTTTTTTTTTTAATCAAGAATTTCAGTACTGTTTCAACTTTCTTTGGATCCGCCATAATCCGAGTTGTTTTGAATGACGTCACCTTTTTTCGATAGCAAGTATGGCGCACAGTTATTGTCATAAAAACATCGAATTATGTTATTTTGTGTGGGTTTTTATTTTCTTTTATATGTTTTTTGTCCTTTTTTATGGTATTGGATTTTTGTTGTCCTGTTTTCAACTATAAACTTAACAACAAATAAAATATGATTAATTTTAACATTAATTTTTTTAATTTTTTGGTTGAAATTTTATAAAATTAAAATTTCAAGCAAAGAGCCATTGTCTGCTTGGAAAGCATTATCCACAGCCTTTGGCCTGTAATAGTTCTTGTAATTTCCTCTTTTGGTGGAAAATATTTACAAAGAAACGAACATTAAAGCAACAGAAACAAAACTGAAAACATTGAAATATATCAAAATTTAAAAATAAAATACATGTAACAGGCTTCCATACTTTATTTTTTATGCGGAAGTTAGCCCAAAGTGAGGCTCACCTATTTTTAGGCCATAACACAGAGCTTTTTAACAGACGATAACATTAAATCATCAGATGTTGTTTTCAGGCTTAGGAGATAGGGTTTTAGAGTGAATTATTTTGCATTATGAGAAAAGGGCGTGATTTGAATAGATAAAGAGAAAAATAGAATCTTACCTCACTAAATGGCATAATTTTCAATTTTTTTGGCTTTAATACACTTCATGCATCTGATGATAATTTTGGGATAAGACTTCAGAAAAATTACGGAAGGGTTTCTGGTTTATTGTTAAAAAAATTAGCCTATCGAAATTAGGATACTATCGAAAATAGGTAACGTCACAATACACACTGAATTTTCAAAGGATTTGTTAGTTATTTCTAGATCATGAAAAGGAGCACAGGACGGGTGTGACAGTTCGGCATAAGATGCTCACTCTTCAGTGGCACCTTATCTAACTTGTGCTATTTTGAAGGTGTTTGCTTTGCTCCAATATTGTATTGTTTAATGGATTTTTGAGCTTGAATACTGTCTGTTATCTTCATATATTCCAGGAAAATTTCAAACAATCAGAAACTATGTTTGTATGGTCAAATTTTTAAAATAATTAATCAATGATGACTTTTTTCCTTAGAAAAAAAAACATTTTAAAAAAGATATGAAGTATGAACAATGTTATCATTTTCCCCTATTAAAGACTAAGTCATAAAAATCCATATCTAATATTTGAAATATTCCCCTGAAAGTGTTAGTAGAAACAACTAAATATTATTCTGATTTGAATATTGTTACTGGGGTATTTTTGGAAATAAGTATATGTATTTTGAATTGAATACACCCCGAAACAAAATTTCTGATTCTACATTTATCTTATGCCGACAAATAAATTACCCCATAATTGCATTCAGTTGGACGTTTTTAATTTGCATTGCATGTAGGTGTTCAAAGCAAAAATTCTAAAAATTAATTTTCATTATTACCATTAATTTGCCTAATCTCCATTCAAGAAAATAAAATCAACAAAATCTACTCGAGATTTATTTCCTGTTTAAAACACCTTGTTTGAATAAAACACAAATGGATAATTCAATGTTCATGGTAACTTGGATATTTGTTGTTTCAGAAATATAAAACCTTTTGTAAAAAATATATTGATATAATAATAATGAAAAAAATGGCGTGCTGAGAGAGCATATTTTAAAAAATATTTGATACGTAAATCTATTATGGAAAATTTTTATAAGTATTTGCATCGACTTTATTTCTTCTATGAAAACCACGATCTTTTATAAGTACTAGAATACCGCTAACCCATCACCTGTAAAGTGTAAAAAACATCACCTGTAAAGTGTAAAAAAAAAAAAAAAGAATAGAACTGTTGCTCATTTATGTCGAGGTAACATATGATGACGTCCACAACATTAAACGAACTCAACCATTCTTAAATGATTATTTTATTACGACATTACGGTGACATATTTCTGTTTCATACATGCAATTTTAATTATGTCAGCCTGCACCATGCAAGGGAAGTAAGTCATGATGCAAGATACACGTAGTACTTGTAAGACAATTTTGATATGCAAGTTATAGAATAATTTTTTGTTAATCTTGTTTTAATAGGGGTAGTGTCTGACATCATTAATATAAGATGTTAAATTATTATGTTGACCAAAAGCAATGTCATAACTGCTGTAAACTCTTGAATGGTATACTGTGAACAAAATTTAACATTCCTTAACTCCTATTTATTTTGACACTCATATGTAAAGTTATGATTGAAAAATTATTCATTATTAAAGAAAGACATTGTCTTTTCTTTCAGTCAACCAGTGATATATATCTTTTTGTTTGATTGTTAGGGAATGTAGAAAAAAACAGCTACATTATTTATACGCATAATAACAACTGAAGAAGCAATTTCACATTTCATTATTTAATTACATGGTATAAATTCATTGCAGCATGTCACAAACTTACCATTATATGGAAATACCGTACAGTATTCAAGCACAAAAGTCCATTCAAACAATACAAATGAAGAGCAAGGAAAAATTCATCAGAAGTGGTATCAGGTGCCACGAATGAATGAGCATCCTCTACCGACCGATCACATCCGCCTAGTGCCCTTTGCTATGATAAGACAATCGAGAAAAACTGTAGACAATTTAGACAATGAGGGTGTAAAACATGTAGTAACAAAGACAGGTCAGTCAGCTTTTGACTCAATGATAGGTTGTATTTGTCAATAAAATCATTGTTTTGATACAAAAACTTCCTAAATAATGACTTCAAACGAGACTTTTGGTATCCTTGTTGAAAGTTAAAGTCATCACATTTATCATAAATAGGTCTAGATCTGCTAACAACGGAACACAACTGGTACCGATATGAATTCCAAGGGATTATTGCAAGTCGTGATCTCCATAAACTAAATATATTTTTTTTTCAATCAGAAAATAAAGATCGTTTAAAATAAGAAATTGTTTCATCGACCTCTGTTCATGATATAAAAAGAAATTGACCTTTTCGAAGATGGGTAAGGTTGATAGAAGATCGAATCATTTTAATGTTGAAAAATGAATTGAAAATGTATTCAAAATCAAACTGTACTAACATTTAAACAATACAATTCATATTAATTTACTGTTTTGTTAAACAAAAGTCCTGATATACTAGTAGTAAAACACAAAGCTGTTCTTTTCCCTTCTGACACAATAAGATTGTTTAGGGCACAAGTATTTTTGACAAATTTTCTTAGTTTAGAACTATGGACTGTTCTAGTTATACATAATTTCTAATAATTTAATTTAAGTTGTGACACGTCATTTTATTGGCTAAAACATTTAGTCTATCTCGTATACCATAAGTTGCCTACGTCACAATTAGCTACGTCAAAAAGGTATTACTCCGATTGACATTACTTTTAAAATATGCTTAATTGAAGACACCATTTTTGGAGGAAAAATTGTCTTATTGACTTCACAAAAATAAATTATAAGGACTGTAGCATCTTAATTTAACCTTTATTAGGCGAAATAACACAACTTGGGACAGTTTTCGCCTTATAAATATTTCATTAATTTACAAACTATTTACAAATTACTGAAATACTACACGTTTCTTAGAAATAAGACAAAAATTATTACGGAAAAATGATAAAACAAATTTCAAAAATCTGGAAAATTAATTTCAAGTCAAATTCAAAGGAGAAAAGTGATTAACTTTATTCGCACAGATTTGAAAATTTCATTCAAATGTTAATAATAAAGAAATTGAAAGTG